GCCAGTTCGCGGAACCGCCGCAGGTCGACGACATAGAGAGCCGAGATATGGTACGGCTGGCCTCGCAGGTAGTTGTTCCAGTAGCCCTGTTTCCAGAAGCGAAAGCCCTCCATCTCGGTGCGCGAGTCACACATGGGCGTGAAGCCGTAGGGCGCGCCCTGCAGGTCGAGCTGGACGAGGTCGTACATGTCAGTGCGCACGATCTGGTCGGCGTCAACAAAGATGACCTTGTCGAGCGACAGCGGGAAGAGCACATCCAAGAAGAGGATCTTGTAGCCCCAGATCTCGCGCTGCTTCTCCTTTTGCTGGCGCAGCCAGTGCGGCCACTTGTAGGTGACCATTTCGTACTGGAAGCCATAGGCCTCGGCCAGCGTCGGGATAAAGTCCTTGAAAGACGGCGACAAGAACTGTTCGATGAACCAGAACTTGACGGTGTGGTTCGTGTGGCGCATTACGCTGACCATCATAATGTTCAGCATGCGCTCGTAGAGGTGGCCGCTGGCGACGGAGAAAATGTTGATGTCGGCCTGCGCCTCTGATGCGGCCAAAGCCTTGTCACCGTCCTTGCCCTTGCCTAGGATGCCTTCGGCGAACTTGAGACCCTTGGCCACGTACTCCATGGCACCGCCCTGGGCCGACGGTGAACCCTCTTCGTTAAGAATTTCTTCCTTCTCCATGCCGGGCTTGCGGACCAAGCGCGGGTATAGTGTGGTGCCCTGGAAGTTCATGAGCGCGACGTCAGTGCCCTCGTCACCCGGTGTGGGGACAATGCCCTTGGAGCCGACACTCTCAATGGAGTAGATGTCCGCGCTGCGGCCCTCCTTGATCTTAATGTTGTAGTAGCCCGGGTTCGCCTTGAACTGGAAGTAGCCCAGGTTGGCCATGATGATGGTGTCGGCAAAATGCTCATCCTTTTCTGTGCCCAGAATCAGCTGGGCGCCACGCGGTGCCTGCCCACTGCGTTCTTGCGAGTGGCCCTCGATCAGGATGTGCTCTAACTCATAAGTTGCCTCCACGTCGGACTTGACGGAGCTCAGCTTGATGTTGTCGAGGTCGTGCACCGATACCTTGGGCGCGACCAGCCAAGCGGGCGGAACCTCCATACCCAGATTCAGGAGAGCCTCAGATGGGAGACCGTTGAATTTGGCACCGAGCCCCTTGACTTTGCCCGCGTCGTCGAACAAGGGCGTGGGTTCAAGGACCGAGCGATAAAACCGCTTTACGGGAAGCTCGTCAAGCCATTCACGGGGGTTTAAGAAGACGCGCATGTAGACGCCTTCGAGACTGGAAAGCACTTTGAGAATGGGACCCCACCGTTGGCCAATTTCGCTGGCCGGGTCCAGAACCGCGTTGAAGTGGATCGTGGCCGTGGAGGCATCGCCGACCTCGAAGGACGTGTGGGTCGTGTTCCAAAGGTTAAACGAGGAGATACGAAGCGTAGGGGCGGACTCGAAGATACCTTCGGGAAGATCAGAGATCGTGGACAGAGCGGTAACTGAAGTCAGCTTGGCGGCCGCCAGCGGCGACGAAACCTTGGCCGTGAGGTTCAGATCCTCCACCGCCATGTAGACGGGTAGAATGCGCTCGGCCTGTTCGAACTCGAGGAACGTGAGAAAGTCTTCTTCACCAAAGGCATCAGCATTCGCAATGGGACCGAGCACGCGGCCGTTCAGGATCAGAACATTGGTGCCGGAGTGGACAGCGGCCGTTTCGCGGAAGCGCTCGAGGGCGGCCACGTACTCTGCCGTTGCCGGTTCTTCCGTGGCCAATAGAGTCTTGAGGTCTTTCCAAGACGCAGTATCCGTAGCCTTGTCGAGGTTGCTCTTCAGGACCGAGTTGAGGTCGTGGCTGCTGCCCGTCTTCGCCGGGTTATAGACAATGTCCAGACGGATGCCTGGGTTATTTACACGGAACTGTAGGGCCGAGTAGAGAAGCTTGGTGCCGTCTTCGGTGTCCAGGTCGAGGACAGCAGTGAGCACGGCCCACGTCTCCTTGGTCGACTCTTCGCTTGCTTCAATGACAGGAATCTCCTCAAAAAGATCGGCATGGTCTGTATGTAGCTTGTGTACATTGACCACTTGCAGGCTCTTCTCATTTTCGGGGAAGATGTAGGCATTGCGCCGCGTCAGAGCGCCCTCAAGGAAATAACCCGCAACCCACGCATCCTCCTCGACCTTTCCGAAGTAGACGGCTTCCTGCACACTGCGTAGATGACTGCTAATCTTGGTGCTCATAGTGGCGACCCAGTTTTCGTCACGAGGAATTACAACACCGTCAACAAAAATGGGTGGAACCTCCGAGTCCGCGCCGAGACGATGCGCCCAATGGCGTGCAAGCTCGATCTGCTTGTCATACTCCTCGTGTCTGAATATGTCTGCAAAGGCCAAGGCTGTCGCGTCTTCACGCAAGTCACGATCCTTGACGGCCACTTTGAAAGCCTTTGCATCTGGCGAGGAAGTTTTCTTGTCGGCGAGGGACTGGGTCAGGTATGCCGAGAGAGCACCCAGGCCATATGTCTCAAGCATATGGTAAACCACCTTGGCCTGCTTGACGGACGCTGGGGTGGAAACAAGCGGGACCAGACCAAAGCGGATGGGCAGACGGCGACGAACAAACTCAAGTATCTGTGCCACGACCAGGCGCACGTCTTCAAGGTTGGAAAAGTCCACAGCGTAGACCTGGTTGAAGATGTCGCGGGCAACCTGCGGCAATTGACCAGGCATGCCGCCTTGTAGTAACCGCCGCAAGCCCTTGGGAAAATCGCTGTATCGGGAGTCCTTCTCAAGGTTGTTCAGCCAGATGATGACGCGACCATCCTCGATCTCGTCTCGATAGTCAAACCGCGGGGGTACGGCTTCTGCCCTGGATGCAGCAACTGCCTCGTGGCCAATCACATCCACGATCTCCTTGCCCGTCAGGCCCAACTCGCGGACGCCGTTGATCATTGTCCTCTCACGACGGACGGTGTCCACTAGGGCGAGGGGTTGGATTTGGCGCTCAATCATCTGCACACCATTCATCCAGAGCACGTTAGCACCAGCAGGCACTAAGACCGCGCGATTGCCGCGGTGTTCTTCGACAAACTCCTTTGAAAAGTTGTGTGCGGCAATGGAGCTGGAGTACTTGGGGAAGTCCTGCGTGATCTTAAGGAGAGAGTCGAAAGGGTTCTCGCTGTGAATGATGTAGTCGGCGGTCTTGAGGCCCAACTCAGCAAGCTCGGATTTGGAAAGCGCCTTGAGGTCAGTCACATCTGCTTCGCCATCCAGGAGGACCTCGGCTGCCACTGGAGGCTTTTTTTTCGCGTCTGCATTGGCTCCGTCGGCCTCGCGATCGTCGATGACAATGTAATCGGTCCTCTTCAGAGCCAGCTCGACACCATAACCGTTCACAGGTAGGCGCTCGTCTGCTGTTGTTTCTGCCGCAGCCCGCACGTGTCTGAGACGGTAGGTAACCTCTCCGGCGCGCGACTTTTCGCTGAGAAGCTTGTGGAAAGGGCCAAACTCAGGCGATGTGATGTCGGCGTAGAGAATAGCATCGGGCCCGTGGCCCTGCTTAACGTCAAAAGGAAGCTCCCGCACCTGCGTCTTATGGCTGGCGATCTTGCTGTCCTCTTTGTCCAGCGATGGTGAACAGTGCTGAGCACCATCGTACAGGATCCATTGGTCACATCCAGTATGGTCGCCGGCTACGGATCCCTTGACGGCAGTGTTGTAGAACTGGAAGTGTGCCTCGATACGGGGCGCGGCAGACCGCAGCGATAGCGCCAGTTTAAAGGTGGACAGTGCCTCGCCGTCAGAAATGTGGCCGTCCTCCGTGAGAAGAGTCAGAAACTTCTCATATAGGTCATGGTCAGTCGCAGCTCCGCCGAAGTATCCGTCGGCGATGCGATCCAGGATGGGGAAGTAGCTGGTTGCATTCTCTTGTGCTGCAGTTTCTCTTTGAAAAAAGTTAGCGAACGTTCAGCGAAGCAAGCGACCTGAATTTTTGTTATTTTTGTTTCTAAATAAATAGACAACCATGAACTCACAGGAGCTCCGTCAGGTATGGTGGCGAGGGGAAGGCTGCGATCATAGACACATCAATCGAGGGTCCGGCCGATGTGAGCGATGGCTGCAGAACCAGGGTGGCAAATAGGGCGTTCGCCAGCCTGAGGGGTAGCCGTGGGAGTCCCATTATGTGTATACTTGTTCTGTATGACTAGAATGTTCAGATATCTCACGCAGCCTGCCTTCTTAACGTGTGATATGAGCAAGAGGGGAATGATGATGGAATAAAGTAATATGAAAACCGGCTGCGATTAGCTCCAGGCCTTCGCAGGAACGGTCGCCCACAAGTGGCATGAAGTGCGTATGAGGTTCTAGTGAAATAGAGCGTCGAGTCGTTTGCGAGCCGAACGAGCCCTGACAGCCTAGCATTCGTCTCTATGCATTTTGTGGATGAAGCGGCTGTTTGGAAGACGTCTTGTCTTGAGAACACATCACAAAATAGCTGTACAAAAAGGGACTAGCGTCAACACGGAGCAACAAGGCAGTTACGGTTAGGTAGTCACGTGGGATGCATCAGCGAATCTGCAACAGCCAACTTCCAACGTGCAAGCGGTTGTTTACAGCTCTAGGGGCACAGCACCCTTTGTAGTAAGGGAACAGGCTGACATTATTGACACCGATTTTCAATGCTCTTCATAAATACACGCTCATAAGTTTTATCCCCAATGCAAATATAAAGTTTTGTTGGAGCTAGTTTCTCTTATGTGCCTCTGCTGTGTTTGTCAGGACGGTCCAAACGCTGCAACTGCCTCTTTTAATAAGGGGGCTCTGCAAACATGTGAAGGGACACTGTGGCTTGTGGCGCAGTATCTTACTTGCGCCTAGAGTTCCGTTTACGTGTCCAGTCCTGCTCTACGAACCCCTTTTGTCCCCCTAGTTAGCAACTGCCATTCCCTCCAACCCCGCCATTGGAGCTTCTGATTGGCTGGAATGCCCTCCCGGCGCGGATAAACTATGGGGCGTATTGCCTCAGGCGCCAACCATCCCACATTCTGGGGCCTTCAGGGAGGGCCACGCTGCTTCGGACGCTCCAAGCTGCAATTCAGATTAGGAGACAATAAAGGTGGCCTTGAAACGTCCCTTGGAGTCTGGCTTCCGACATCACATCCACACCACACCGCCTGCCCCGGGCTCCCTTTTGTCGACGGAGCTTTGGAAACGCACGCGATCCGCCTGCTTCCCGACGATTGCCCCCCATTTCGAAAGCCCTCCTTTTATTTACACCAATCCGCCGCCGAGCGCGAAGCTACGGTCAAGATGGCGACGCCGTCGCAGATGCTCACGAAGGTAACCGACGATGCTGTCCCCTGGCGGCCTGGGGCCGAAGACCATCGTTGGCCATGGCAGTGGTGAGGCCCAGCGTGTACTGACACAATACAGTTCGAGTCCAAGTCGTCTCGTGCGAAGGGCATTGCCTTTCACCCCAAGAGGTAACTTTGTCTACCCCCCCTTCCCTTTTGGGCCCCTTTTGAGCAACGCGTTATGCTTCGGATGGCTGTCGGGGCTTGTCTGCATCTCGAGTCTCAGACAATAGGCCCGTGGCTGACAGTCGATGCTTTCCAGACCATGGATCTTGGTGTCCCTCCACTCGTCTACCATCCAGCTGTGGGACTACCGTATGGGCACGCTCATTGACCGCTTCGAAGAGCACGATGGCCCTGTCCGCGCCGTCGCTTTCCACAAGACGCAGCCCCTCTTCGCATCGGGTGGCGACGACTACAAGATCAAGGTCTGGTCGTACCAGACAAGACGGTGCCTGTTCACCCTCAACGGCCATCTCGACTACGTCCGCACCGTCTTCTTCCACGATGAGCTTCCCTGGATTGTTTCGTGCTCCGATGACCAGACCATCCGGATATGGAATTGGCAGAACCGCTCGCTGAGTACGATGGCACCTCGACTCCCATCGCATCCCCTGTGTTGATGTTTGATTCGTCGGTTTCTGGACGCGCGGTGTACTAACAATGGGCTTCTGCCCCTCGTCTGTAGTTTGCACCATGACGGGCCATAACCACTACGTCATGTGCGCCCAGTTCCACCCAAAGGAGGACCTCGTCGTATCCGCGTCGCTCGACCAGTCCGTTCGTGTCTGGGACATATCGGGTCTCCGCAAGAAACACTCCGCCCCGACCTCCATGTCGTTTGAGGACCAGATGGCCCGCGCCAACCAGAACCAGGCTGACATGTTTGGCAACACCGATGCCGTTGTCAAGTTCGTCCTTGAGGGCCACGACCGCGGTGTCAACTGGGTCGCCTTCCACCCTACTATGCCGCTCATTGTGTCGGCCGGCGATGACCGCCTCGTGAAGCTTTGGCGTATGAGCGAGACTAAGGCTTGGGAGGTGGACACGTGTCGCGGCCATTTCCAGAACGCGTCGGGCTGTCTGTTCCACCCACACCAGGACCTCATCCTGTCTGCTGGTGAGGACAAAACCATCCGTGTCTGGGACCTTAATAAGAGAACAGCTGTCCAGACGTTTAAGAGAGAGAATGACCGCTTCTGGGTCATTGCCGCCCACCCCGAGATCAACCTCTTCGCCGCCGGCCATGACAACGGTGTCATGGTCTTCAAGCTCGAGCGCGAGCGTCCTGCCTCCGCCGTCTACATCAACAACCTCTTTTATATCAACAAGGAGAAGCAGGTGCGGTCCTATGACTTCCAGAAGAACCTCGAATCCCCCACTCTTCTGTCCCTGAAGAAGGTCGGCCCCGCCTGGGTGCCTCCGCGGACTCTTTCCTATAACCCCGCCGAGCGCTCGATTCTCGTGACGTCGGCTGCCGACGGCGGCTCGTACGACCTGATCAACCTCCCCAAGGACGGTTCGGGCGCCTTGGAGCCCACTGAGCTGAAGCGCGGCTCCGGTAACTCGGCCATCTTTGTGGCTCGCAACCGCTTCGCTGTCCTGAATACAGCTACACAGACCATCGACATCAAGGACCTCACTAACAATGTCACGCGCTCTTTCAAGCCCCCTGCTGGCACCACCGACATCTACTTTGGCGGCCCCGGCAACCTGCTCATCATCACGCCGACTGCCGTTCACCTATACGACATCCAGCACAAGAAGACCATCGCCAGCTTGAACGTGAATGGTGTGAAGTACGTTTCTTGGTCCAACGACAGTTTGTACGCTGCGCTCCTGAGCAAGCACAACGTGACGATTGTTACCAAGACGCTGGAGCAGGTCAGCACGTTGCATGAGACGATCCGTATCAAGAGCGCCACCTGGGACGATGCCGGTATCCTTCTGTACTCGACTCTCAACCATATCAAATATACGCTCCTGAACGGCGACAACGGAATCGTGCGCACTCTCGACCAGACGGTGTATCTGGTTCGCGTCAAGGGCCGCAACGTCTACTGCCTCGATCGCTCCGCGAAGCCCAAGATCCTGCAGATCGACCCCACCGAGTACCGCTTCAAGATGGCTCTGGTCAAGCGCAACTACGAAGAGATGCTTCACATTATCCAGACATCGTCACTTGTTGGCCAGTCCATTATTTCATACCTCCAGAAGAAGGGATACCCAGAGATCGCGCTACAGTTCGTCCAAGACCCGACGACGCGATTCGAGCTAGCCATAGAGTGTGGCAACCTCGATGTTGCCGTTGAAATGGCCAAGGAGCTAGACAAGCCCAAGCTATGGTCGAGACTGAGCAACGAGGCTCTGGCTCACGGCAACAACCAGGTTGTGGAGATGTGCTACCAGAAGCTGAAGCAGCTGGACAAGCTATCTTTCCTGTATTTGTCGACGGGCGACAAGACAAAGCTAGCCCGCATGGCTAAGATTGCCGAACACCGCGGCGACTTTACGTCGCGGTTCCAAAACGCCCTGTATCTCGGCGACGTCGAGGACCGGATACAGATGTTCAAGGAGATCGATCTTTGTACGTATTAATTTATACGCCAATTTGTTTTTGGGGGGTGGGGGGGTTGAAAAAAGAAAGCAAATACTTTTGAGGACGTCATTCGCTGACTTTGCAAACAGACTCTCTTGCATTCATGACTGCCAAGGCCCATGGCCTGGAAGAGGAATGCCAGTCGATTCTAGAGGCAACTGGAATCACAGAGGACCAGCTCACGCTTCCGGACCACCTTGGCGGCTCTTTGACGCCACCAAAGCCGGTCGTCCCGACCTACCAGGCCAACTGGCCGTCCAAGGGTACCTCTGTGTCCTTCTTCGAGAAGGCACTCCTTGGCCAAGTTGAGGGCTTGTCGCTCGAGGACGAGCCGTCAGCGGCTGCCAATGGTGCCGATGCCTTTGGCGAGGATGAAGCTGACGGAGGTGATGCCAAGAAGAATGGCAACCTGATGGACGTGGACGACGATGAGGATGTTGCTGGTTGGGACATGGGTGATGATATTGTCGCTGACCATGATAACGACTTTGTCAACGTCGAAAGCGCAGACGCTGGCGGTGCTGGCAGCAGCGAGGCGGATCTCTGGGCCCGCAATTCGCCGCTGGCTGTCGACCATGTTGCCGGTGGCTCCTTTGAGACGGCCATGCAGCTTCTTAACCGCCAGGTGGGTGCTGTCAACTTCGCACCACTGAAGCCGCGCTTCCTGGAGGTTTACCAGGCGTCGAAGACGTACCTGCCTGCGTCTGCCGGCCTGCCGTCTCTGGTCAACTACGTTCGCCGCAATGTGGAGGAGTCTGATCCAAGGAAGGTGCTGCCCATCATCCCGCGCGACCTGGAGTTCTTGGTTGAGAATGACCTGCAGCGCGGCTACGACGCGATGAAGAGCAACAAGCTGGAGGATGGCATCAAGACGTTCAAGAGCATCCTGCACTCGGTCCTGATCAACGCGGTGTCGAGTGAGTCTGAGGTTGACGAGGCCAAGAAGCTGATCACCTCTGCGAGCGAGTATGCTGTGGCGATGAGCATTGAGCTGGCACGGAGAAACTTGGGCGCGAACGATGTTGTCGCCAAGGACCCCAAGCTGCTGAAGCAGAGTCTGGAGCTGTCCGCGTACTTTACCATCCCCAAGATTGAGGTCCCTCATCGGCAGCTCGCCCTGCTCAACGCCATGAACCTGGCGGCACGCAACAAGAACTACAACTCGGCCCTTAGCTTCGCTAACCGGATACTGGCCAACGGCGGTTCTGGTCGTATCCTGGAGACGGTAAGCCAACCCCCTGTCAAATACTTATACTTCGCTTTTATACCTTTATGATCTTCTGCTAACAGCTTTTTGTAGGCCAAGAAGACCAAAGCGCAGTGCGAGCGTAACCCGAATGACGCGATCGACATTGAGTTTGACCAGTTTGCCGAGTTTGACGTGTGCGCGGCCAGCTTCACGCCCATCTACAGCGGCACGGCATTCGAGGAGTGCGCTTTTGATGGCTCCAAGTACCACTCCAAATACAAGGGCTCGGTCTGCCGCATCTGCGGCGTCTGTGAGATTGGCAAGCACGGCAGCGGCCTGAAGCTGTTTGCCTAAGTAACTGCAAACTAGCAAACTAAATTCGCAACACTCACGCAACTGACTCCCATCCCTCCGTTTTACCCCCCCAAAAAATAAAATAAAATAAAACGAAAGCAAACCCTTAATATGAGACAAAAGGAAGGACACGATTCCATGGCCTGTATACAGACAAAATAGAAGAAAGTGGGAGAAGATGACGGGTGCATGGGTTTTCGTGAACTATCAAGGCGGTTGCTCGCCCATGGAAAGGGGTATATCGAGATAGTTTCTACTGTTTTTACTTTGGGCGTGCATTTTTCGAAACGCAATTTTTTTATCGTACTTATGAATTTCTTTTTCTTTGTCACATTTCGCTATAATGCTCCCTGTGGGCTATTTTCTATTTTCCGTGCTCATAATGCGCCTCTATTTTGCTTCTTTTACTTTCTCTACAGTTGCGGCCATGATGGGCTCATCACCAACAAAGGTGAGAGCGGCGAGAGGGTCAACGGAATCTTCAAAAGCCGTCATTGGGGCGTTGTGGTTCGGGTTTGTTTGCAGCTGTACGAAATTTAACTACGTGAAAAATATAAAATCATCCAATACGACTTCATTTTGCGATTTTGCGGCTGGCGTTACCCGCTTGGTGTTTGTAGAAATTGATGTACCTTTTCTATGACGAAAACTGGCTATAATACAGAAACGCACCAGGGGGCCAACAACGCTCCCTTTCGTTTTCTCGCTCTGTCCGTCCATGCATGTGATGTGAGACCATTCTCTTAGACAATCGTCTCCAACTGCCGTGCGTAGCCCAGAACATTCTCAATCACCATTTGACTGACCTCCTTCTCAGCAGGCTCTTGTGTCAGGCCGTCCACGGCTGTGACGGTGCCATCTGGAGCAGGGGCGTGGGGTGCGCCGCCAGCGGTGGCGGACGCTGCCGACGGGAAGTAGATCTGGCCGTCTTTGACGGTCCAGCCACGGTGGCGGGCAAACTCGACAACGGCGCCCTCGGAGTCGAGGAACAGCAGAGACTTGGTGGAGCTCAGGGGCAGCGACGGGTAGGCGCGTTCACTGCTGGAGGCAATCTCGGAGCGCACCTGCGACGTGAGGATCTCGGAGAAGACGCTGTACTCCTCGCACGGCTCCTCGCCCTGCTTCATGGCCTTCCACACGCGGTCGTAGCTGCCCTCCATCAGCCACCGCTCGAGGCGGATCGGGTAGCCTAGGTACCGGTCGTCCTCGGAGCCGGCACCCTCGCGCGTGCTGATGCTCTCCAGCTCCGAGTGGAACTCGCCGTACCGGCCTTCGGTCAGCAGCAGCAAAAGGTAGAGGCCGGTGACCTTGTTGCGCTCGGCCACGTTGGGCGGCAGAACGGCGCCGGGCAGCGCGTAGAACGGCGCCAGCTGTTGCACGTAGCGCGTAAACGCGTCGGCGTCCTGGGCGCGGATGCTGCACAGAGCGCCCTGCTCAAAAGTCTCGCGGGCGAGGGCCAGCACGGAGGCGGGGACGGCGCTGCCGCTGTCGTTGGTCAGGGACGGTGTCAGGGCGCCCAGCTGCAGCAGGGCCAATTTGGCCTTGGAGAGCAGCTTCGCCTGCTCCGGGTAGGTCCGCGAGGACTTGAGCTGGCTCAGGATCTGAGTGAGCTTGCGTTCCGCCATGGTAGGTGGTATGGGATGGTTGTGATTCAGGCGTAGTGGCGATGGCAGCTTCGATAAGAGGACAGGGAGTTGTGGACGGGGAGGATGCAGTCGTGGCAGGTCCACGTCGCTGCCTGTATGGCGTGTGTGTAGGAAGGATGGTAGCACGCTGTAGTCCGGAGTTTTGTCAATTGTCTAGTGAGGGAGACTCGTGCATTCGCTCATATCGTGATCGGTCGTCAGGTTGTTTGCGGGCCATTCAAGCTACGGTGACTGGCTCCCAGTAGGCTGCATGAGGCTGACGAAAGAAGACACCCCAGCCAAAGCACAGGGGTGGGGAGTGTCACAAATTAGTAATCATATCACGTGCAACTTTCTCAAATAGTTTAGCCATAGTGACGTCTCCAAGCTCGTAGCAAGAACTTGTCACTGCCAGATGCGACATCCGTCGTTCAGTATTTTTCGAGTCAAGTCTGTTATATCATTGCTGGAGATTGTGCATTAATTGTGACCGGCTATGAGCGTTACCAACGATGTACTTGTTGAACAAATTACTTTTGCACTGCTATCTTGGCTGATAGGTATACTCTTGGGTTCTTTCCAAAAGCGGAAATATACACTGGGACTGCGACGATACTGTGTTTTTTAATATGAGGTCGCTTCGCAGTGCGATCTACGTCGTACATTTAACTGGTTAACCTTGTCATCGCAACGTTCAATCTCGCGTCGCATCATTCGTATCCGTACGAGGCTGGGGTCTTTGCTCATCGAAAGTCCAACAGAGAGTGTCGGGCTTCATTTGTTGCTTCCCCAAGGCTGACAGCGCCTCCCCTTTGTGGCTTGGATTAAGCCTGCACTAAGAATGGCAATCTAAGCTGATTGCCTCATGGACGGAGTAATTACAGTCGTTGCCATTCACTAGACTGTCTGCATGGCCAGCTCAGGCTCAAATGCAGACGAGAAATATCGGTGAAGTCGATCCGGCCTGGCCAACGGCCATGGCGCTAGGTGTCTGGCGAGACATAACGGCTCGAGATGTTCGGAACTGCTAGATGCCAATGGCGGAGTCCTATGCATGATGCATCTTTGGAAGTGCGGCGGGGTCACAGTGCTTTTTGAGAACCATATGCGAGAGAATGACCGAAAAGCATCCAAGACAACACGAGCCCGCTGGCGTACGGCTGATTCGGGATATGACCTCTCGTGGAGCGGAGAGGGTGGGCTGACAATTGCTTGTTCACTCTTGGCGAGACAATCGTGAGGTGGAGAGCGACGCTGGAAGCGCTACCCAAGTTGACGTCTGCATTTGGAGTCGTCTGTTGTTGGGCAGCATGGCAGCACCATGCGCAGAACATAACGGCATCTTATCTCACGTGTGGTGTGTATGTAGGGGTATGCGCGGTGGATCTTTACCGTTGCTTGTGGACTTAAGAACGAATACTCAAGGCCCGAGTATCGTCTTCGCTGACCGGCGGATGAACAGGAACAGCGACAATTGCGAGATTCCTTCTTGACTTTTTCCGGTCGCCGGCGGAAAGTCGACAATTTAGGACTCCTCGCATCTGTCGCGACAAGATAAGCTTTTCCTGGCCGGGGAATTCTGCTGCACATCCCAAGCAAGGTTATAGGTCATTGCTTGTTAGATAAATGTCGCCTTGTCAAAAGCAGACGTAGTCTCTGTACCGTCGTACTGTAGCGTAATGAGTGTTTTCTTCAAATAGCATGAAATCGTGGCTGAGCCCTCCTGACAGATTCCAAAACTGCCCGCCAAGTCCTGAAGCGGCTGTGTGATCAAATTAACTCGTGGAGCTGCTGTTGTTGGGGTTCAGGATACTTAGAAGACTCAGCTTGGCCCGAGAGACCCGCCCGGATGGGAGCTGCCGCTAACCGCAGTGCAGCAAGCAAAGCTCAAAAAAAGGTAAAATGAGTTCCCGCCGTCCTCCCGCCGTTGCAATGGCGCCAATGGGCGTTATCCTGGAAGGTGTTCTCTGGTGACTTCGCTGGCCTGGCCCTTCCGGCTTTTGTTTTGTGACCGACTTTCCTAGGACTATGTGAGCTCAGGCTGTTGCAGATTGAAGAAGGAACGCTGTCGAGACGCATTCCTTCCCGCTCGCCTCGTTTCCACCTGCCCACCGTAGCTTGCGTAACAGTGACTGCCTCTCTCCCTTTCTCGGTTTTCGCATTCCTTTTTGTTCGCGCTTGCCAAGATAATTCTCCAGTCACGACCGCGCTTACCACTGAACCGTGAATGCTCCGTAGTGGGGGGTTGTGAGGGGAGAAACGAGATTGTCCCACTCAGGTGCAGTCAATCAAAAGGGCGCCGCCGGAGTTCAAAGAATGCCTGCAAGGCAGGCTGTGAAGGTCCCATCGTCGCGACAAAAAAGTAGAACATGGTTGTGGCTCAACCCTTCGCCAAAAGTTCCTTGTCGTTTTGTCCGTCCCTTGGTCGATCCTGCTCTCTTCGGCATAGCCCATTCAAACCTTCCCCTCCACGGTTTGGGGAGTGCTATTTTCGATAATTTAAGTAGGAACAAGTAACCACCCCTCCGAGCACTCCTTCGCTTTTACCTCGCAAACCTCAACGCCCTATCCAGAAGCTGCTTCTCTCACACATCGATTTCCCTCCCCGAAATCTCGGCATGTGTTTGTTTGTTGTCCGGAGTATACTTCACTACAACAAAGCAACTGTATCGCCTCGTCTCTTGGCCTTGTGGCCCTCTTTTTCTCACTCATCCTCACGTGCCGCACGGCGTCTTACGGAATTCTCACATTCGGACGGGCCCCCTGTGCTTGGTTTTGTGCCTTTTCCCGCAGTTATATCTCGTCCTGCCTCCGCCTCCTCCTCCTCCTACTCTTTATCTCCCTCCTTCTCTTCCCTCCACCTCCCGTCCTTGACTTTACCGCATGCCGCATAAACCGACACAGTCCCGACATCCCAAACCATGCTCTGCGCATAAATATTGCGAGCCCTGCGTGTACCGCTACATCGCCTTCCTTGAAGTTGGGCAAAGCACGGAGCACTGGTACCTGGTATTACAAAGTACCTGAGCCGTTGTACCTGCAGGGCATTGACCATTCGTGTCCATCTCCACCTGGGGTTGTGTTCTAGCCAGGCGGATCTTCGCGCGACCTGAACGTGGGAGCGTTCCCCTTTATTCTACCGGTCGGGTTTGCCTTCGTCTCTTCCTTATTTTATTTTATTTTTATTTTTAAAGCCACAAGGCAGCGCCCGCTAGGAAAGTACAATGTCGAACCCACAGTACGCGCGTCAATCCCAAGGGGGCGATCCTAGCAACACCTCTGGTAAGCAAGATCCTACAATTTTATTTTCTACCTGAGCCAACGGCGACTGTTCAGCGAATGGACGGTGGAGATGAAGCAGTCGGCGCTTTGGATGCAAAGAATGAGACATGGTGCACAGAACCGGGGGCAGGAAACAGAAATCAGCAAATAGCAAGCACAAGGCAACAGTGGCGACACAACACTCTTCCGTACACATACGACGGTCGAATCTGCAAAGTGAAAACACGTGCAGGCGAACCCAAACGGCACACCACGAGCCAGCTATCAAATGACGACCTCCCAAACCGAAACGTCGCCACTCTACAACGACGTCAGGGACACGGCAACTCTGCGTTTCAACGGCCAACACACCGTAGTGGCATCCAGCTTCGGGTTGCATTGGGCTAGATCGGACTTGCAACTGGCTGGGACTTAGTAGCCCCTTACTGTGGGCAATTGGACACCCACATACGAATCCAAAAGAGGCAGCAGCTTTACGACCTGGCATAGCCGAGCAAGTTCCCCTCATCAGTTTACGAAGGGCGGATACGACAACCCTATTGAACCTCTTTTCTTCTACGCACACTGCCTCCTTTTTATTTCGTCGTCATATTCTGACAAGGATACGGATATTGCCTGGGACTCGTCTCTCCCAGAATCCCACACGACCACGGCACACCGAGCGCCAACCTTGCTTCTACTCCTTATTTCTTTCCATTCTGCCTGCCACCACTCGCTTTTGTTGCTCGTTGCCTCGTCCTCCTTGCGCTTGCTCCTACTTCCACGCCTCAGCCGCATTGTCGCTCACCGGATGCCGTGTGCGGCGCCTCTTCAACGTCTTGGCTGACAGACTCGATCCTTACTGTTTCTATTTTTGCAGGACCCCCAAAACCCCGGCCAAATCAACTCGTCACTTCCGAAATGCCCAAGCTCGAGGCTACCTTCGTGCCTGGTGGCTACGATGACTACTACATGCCAGAAGTTATCGCCCCCTCCCCTCAAAGGTATGTGCCTCTCCTCTCTCCAGTTTTGAGTTGAGTTTTTGCTTCTTCTGCACGTCATATGATGCCCACGGGCAACTGTTTGTCGTCCGATGCATCCTGTCCCTGTTCCTCGTTTGTTTTCCAGATCTCCACTCCCGCCGTCTTTCATCGTTCTTGCATCGTTTCCTTAGCTCCGTTTGCGCCTGGACTTGCAGCGATGGCGTTGCCGTCCCATCCATTTGTCCTTACCCCTCCCCCCACCATCAAGCGCGTTGTCAGGCGGGAGAGGCCCGGGCAAAGTCAAAAGTCCCTGGCAGGGCCCGGTAGTGGCATAGGCATAGGCACGAAAACAGCGCCAACGCCAGCGCCAACGCCAACGCCAGCCCAGTAGTGAACGACAAAGGGACACTAGGCAAAGCTTTCAAGGGGAACCTGGGAAACGTGGGAAACTGACTATTTGGCGCTTTGCCCGGCCGCAGGGTGATGCCCGAAGTGCCTCAAAACATGCAAGACGGCCTTCAGCGAATGGAACTCGAAGCTCGACAGCCCTCCAACCTTCCCACCACCGCGACCGCCGCCGAGCTCGACAACGCCCCTGCCACCCGCCAGGTCCCCTCGCTGCAACACGGACGCGAACCGTCCTTGTCTACCTACGTGAGCGGAAAGCCCGCTGCTGACATCGCTGATATTGCCAAGCCGGCCGGGCGTGGCGCGTCTCCCGCTGCCAATCAGCAAGCGCCGGCCGAAGGCTTCAAAGCGTTTGCCCAGGACAAAGACGGCGATATGGCGTCAAACTTTGAAGTGCCGTCTTTCTCGCCGTTCCCGCGCATCAGCCAGGGGAATGTCCCGCCGAGTGACGACGAGAAGGAGCGAATCCTCTACAACGCGCGCCAGGAGGTGCTGAAGTCCAACAATGTGGCCGTGCAGCTGGACTGGGCACTGGACGTACTGTCGTGGGTGGAAATCTCCCAAGAGGCGCATGCGCGCGATAACAAGGACCAGGGCAAGCGGCCGCAGACCCCGCGGATTGAACACGAACTGCGTCTCGACGCCATCAACATTGTGGAGTACCTGTCGTCCCAGAACCACCCACAAGCCCTCTTTTCTCGCTCGAAATGGCTCGAATTTGGAAAGTTCGGCTTCCGGCAAGACAGGAACGAGGCCTTCTTGGGTTACATGAATGCCGCAAGCAGGGGTTGGGGTCGTGCAGAGTACCGCATGGGCATGATCTACGAAAACTCCAATGACATTAAGAATGCCCTGCAGCATTACAACCGCGGCCTGGAGATGGAGGATTCGGCCTCCTCCTACCGACTGGGCATGATGAACCTCCTCGGCCAGCACGGCCACACCAAGGATTTCAGTACCGGACTCGAAATGATCCGGTCGGCGGCCGATACATCTGACGAAGAGTCCCCGCAAGGCGCCTACGTCTATGGTATGCTCATCTCGCGCGAGCTTCCCGACATTACCATTCCCGAGGGCATACTGCCATTTGATGTCGCCCAGGCGCGTCAATACATTGAAAAGTCGGCCTATTTTGGGTTTGCCAAGGCTCAGCTGAAGATGGGTCAGGCCTACGAGCTCTGCCATCTTGGCTGCGATTTCAACCCGGCCCTGTCACTCCACTATTACGGCTTGGCTGCCCACCAGGGCCAGGCCGAAGCTGCGCTCGGCGTGAGCCGCTGGTTTCTCTTCGGCTATGACGGTGTCTTCTTGAAGAATGAACAGCTGGCGTTCAAGTATGCCCAGCAGGCAGCCGACGCCAAGCTTGCCACGGGCGAGTTTGCCATGGGATACTACTACGAGATTGGTATCTTTGTGCAGAAGGATTTGCGCGATGCTCGCTCGTGGTATGAGAGAGCGGCCGAGCATGGGAACCAGGATGCTATCAACCGCCTTGAAGGCCTGAGCCAGGCAAAGACGCTCACGAAGCAGGACCACGAGACGACGGCGCTAACACGTATCAAGTCGAAGCACGGATCAATGCGTGGCCAGCGGCCAGAGCGCTTCGGCAGCCGCCAGAAGGATGTCGCCGCGGCGCTTCCCACGCTTGCCGAGTCCACGCCAAACCTCCCCTCCGAGTCTGCTCCGCCCAGCTCGTCCTCGCCCGACTACCGCCCCCCATCATCACACAATATCTCACCTGCGCAGCGACCAGTCCAAGACACGTCAGGCGCTGCTCGGCCTCCTGCCTTTTCTATCAACATCGACCAGAGCAGCGTGGCTATCCGACCCAAGTCAACAGCACCATACCCCGTGGATGACAAGCCTGCACCTCTGAACCTCGCCCGACCAAAATCAACAGCACCGTATCCCGACGACGGGCCGGGTGGGCGGGCCCCACTCTCTCCCCACTACAACCCCCAGATTCGTGCGAGCAACGGCCAGCAGGCTGCCGATCGGCCGTTGAGTGCTTTCGGCATCCGCCCCACAAGCATGAACCCGCAGGGTGGGGCGCGCCCGCTTCCCGTGTCACAAGCAAGTGGTAACCTGGCTCCGGACCAGCGTCCCTTCTCAGTCAACATCCCTGGAAGACCCCTGGACAATGATCCACGCGGCCGTGTCACATCTGCTGGCTGGGAGCCGCAGATTCCCACCGGGGGCTACCGCGGTACAAGCCCTAATGCACCCCAGGGTCGGGCAGATTACAACGATTCGTACGATTACGGACACCAACAGCAACACCCGCAACCCCCGCCCCATCAGCAAGCTCCAGCCTCTGCCCGTCTCTCTGGCGGCATGCCGCCACAAGCATCGGACAACTCCCGTAACCGTTTGTCAAAGACAAACCCGAATGCGAATCCGTCTGCGTACGGCGCGGCACAGACAGGCAATCCGGCCGCACAACCCGGCCGTGACTACGGCCCAAGGACATCTAGCCGGCCAGTCTCCAATGTCTACCCAGGTCCCAGTAATGGTACACCCCGGCCCGACCGGATTGACTCGCTGCCATCGCAGGTGCAGGGCGGCCACGGCCACTATCCCAGCGGTGGTGGCGGTAGTGGTCCCCAAATGTACAAGAATCGGCCACAGCTGGCAGAACATGGCCGCCAAAGCGCACCTCCCGCCCAGATGAGTGGTGGCGGTGGCATGGGCCCAGGCCCAGGCGCAGCCACTCGCCCTGTGTCAACCGCACCTCCACCGCGCGTTTCAAGTGCCGCACCGCAAGCCGCCCCGGGGCAGGCTACGCGTCTTTCAGCTCCGGCTGCTGCGCAGGCGCCAAAGCCCGTCAAGCAGGGCCCAGCAACCTTCGAGGAGATGGGTATTCCTCAGGGCAAGGGCGACGACGACTGTGTAAGTTTCTTAGTTTCTTACTCTTTTCACCCCCGGCACCATGCACCTGACGCTGACATGCCTTTGTATAGGTTATCATGTGAGGAAAGATATCTTGTCCCCCGTTCACGGATGATATTTATCTACTATTAAAGATCTTCCCCTTGGAGATTTGGTGCAAGTATATGGCTATTGCTGGCCGTTTGCGTTGGCCGTCTCTTGTTATTGGCATTTAGAGCTTGGGTGACTTGTTAGCACTCTTTATACTTCTCTTCTAGATATCATTTGTTTATCTTTTTTTGTTTCTTGGAAGCCACTTGTGTAGTGCCTACTACTTGGCTATTATGATCCCTTCGATGGGCCTTATGAACGACTTGACATGAAAGGCGTGGGACAAGGCGGATGGCATGTCACAAACTTTCAGCACATTTTACTTTTCGTTGTCATTCCGTCTAGGAATCAGCTGTGGCCGTTACTTAATGTACATTGCGAGGGACAAGCCATTCATAAACGGAACGATTTAGCCCCGTCTCAAACGACTTACTCAGTGATTACTCTGTAAGCCCTCCAAATGCGCTGTAAGTGATGTCGCTGTAGTGAGTAATTGGCGATATAACGGGCAAACCAATAATCCGGAGGTGGGGCTTTGAGACGGTGAGCGATCGCCCGTTCACACGGATGGTTGAATGCGCAATCAGTATCAGTCCATAAATGACCAAGACAGGCAAGTGCTTCCAGGAGCTGTTGCAGAACGATGATTTATCTACTACAGTTTTTTTTTGTTCGCGAAATTAGAAAGACCGACCCACGACCACAACACAGAATCTTGAGAGACACAGACACCAACTCTAGATCAGACCTCTCCGAACTCGTCACATTCTCTCGCCACCGGTACAGAAGCTCGGACTGCGACCGGCACAGAACGAGCTTGCCGAGACCGACCCCTAGGCTGTCCGCAGCCAACGAACCCCATGCCTACCACATCGGGCGGAGTGCTCTGTTCCCTGCTTCTCGACCTGACGGTCCCGTAGCGATTTCGCCTTCGAACAACAAACCATACATATTGCACAGAGAGTCGAGACACGGCGAATGTTTGAGCTGCGAGGCGTCTTTCTTTCCCACAAGCGACACTGGGACTGTGGCCGATCATGGATCGCGCTAAGAAACGTATGTTGGGCAACCTGGACAGCCACGATCTTCCCTTGTGGGACGCTGCGCTGTTGCAGCCATATTGTGTTCTGCAGTGAAATGTGCTGACATAGTGTTTATCTGTTGCAAGGCCAATTACGCGCGTTGAATGAACGCGCTTGGGATGGAGAGATAGGTAAAACGACCTTGATTATTGTCTTTTTGTTTGGTTGACCTTCCTGGCGGCTACTGACATGGGTGACAAGGTCTCTTCGCCGTGAACAAGTCCCTGGACTCGTCGTTGAAAAAGAACACCGCCTTTATCCGGCGACTACGAACGGCCATTTCCTCTTCGACCCTCAGCTCCCTCCTGCAAGAAATCGCGTCGCTCAGCCTGAGCAAGTACCTGTCCGAGATCGTTTCCGCATGCTACGAAGGACTCTCGCGCCTCAAGACCCCTGCCGACATTGAAGCCGGCGTTGAGATTGTATCGGCCCTCCACCAGCGCTTCGGCCCCGCCGACTTCACTGAATACCTAGGATGGCTGTTGGGCAAAGGAATGGCGCCGCCCGACAAGAATCAGCTCAAGACGCTATCGGCTGAAGCTCGTGAGAGGGATGAGAAGGAGCGTCTCACTCTGCAGCGGGTTCTGCTGCGAATCGTCACGGAGCTATGGCTTGTGGGTGTGCTCCGGACACCGGAGGATGTCAATCGGCCGGACGATACGACCAAGGGCGCCATTGGTAAGACCACGGAAGTCAAGTTCCGCACCAGCACCTCAGCCAAAGGCAACTCTACGGAGCCTTTCCCCCTAGCTGTTCTCAAAGACCTTCTCGGCCACGACCGCGATCATACGAATCTGCCGCTTCTCGTTACTTTTGTCAAGACCTTCAGCTGGGACATTTTGGGCACGAGCGGTGTGAGTTCCGAGGATCGGAAGGACGATGGCGTCAATGGTGGCCTCAGGACGGAAAATAGTGAGCATGCTGCTACCGACAAAGGAGGCAATGACCTCGACGGCGGAGACAATGATGCGACCAACCCGGGCGACGAGGAGTCCGGAGCCGGTGCACCGGGTGACTCTTCGAACACGACCGCCACTGGCGATTCGCCCATTGCACCTCCAGAGCTCCAGGAGAAATTCAGAAACATCCTCACTCGATACTTTGAAGATGTCAAGGGACACCTGGTCCGTGACCAAAAAGCCATTTCCAGCCAGTCCCGCCGCAACGCAGAAGCCTATGTCAAATCGGGTGAAGTCTTTGAGGACCGCCAATCCCATTTCGAAAAGCAAGTCAAGGCCCAGGAACGGTTGGTTTCCAATGCCCAGGTCATTGCCGACATCATCGGTGCCGAAATGCCTGACCTCAAGGACGGTGACGATGGGCAGCTGGCTGCTGGTGGCTCGATTGGCATTGTCAAGGCTGGCGATTATCCCCGCGGCCAAGGCGAAGGATCTGGGATCTGGGAGGACGAAGAAGAGCGCCGCTTCTACGAGAACCTTGTGGATCTCAAGGGCAAAGTTCCTGCCATTCTGCTCGAGGATGGCAAGAAAAAGAAGACTGACAGCGACGAACAAGTTGGCAAAAAGGTCGATCCCGCCGTCGATGGTGTAGAATCGTCCAAGGCTGCCGAGGTTTCAACCGCGGCGGCACCCGCCGACGACGACCAGTCGACGTCAATCGTGAATAAGAGCATCGGTGCCCAGGTTGACTCAATTCTTCTTCGACTTCCCGATTTGACAAACAAAGATGTCATCGATCAGACTGCTATTGACTTCTGTTTCCTCAACTCCAAGGCATCCCGAAACCGGCTTGTCAAGGCACTGACCGAGGTGCCCAAGGGCCGCAGTGACCTCCTCCCTTGTTGGTCCCGCCTCGTTGCCACTCTCGGCCAATACATGCCTGATATACCCAAAGGCTTGGTTGAATATCTCGATGCAGAGTTTCGTAGTCTGCAGCGGCGCAAGGAGAAGGACTTTCTTGGCCCTGTGCGGCTCAGCAACATCCGCTACTTGGCCGAGCTGACCAAGTTTGGCATCGTACCAGAGCATGTTGTGTTTCACTGCCTCAAGGTCAGCCTCGACGATTTCTCGCGTATGAATATTGAGATAATATCCAATCTCCTCGAAAACTGCGGCCGATACCTGCTGCGCAACCCAGAGACGTCACCCCGAATGGCATCGTTTTTGGAGACGCTCCAGCGGAAGAAATCAATGCAGCACATCGGGCAGACGGAACGCATGCTCATCGAAAACGCTGTGTACTACGTCGACCCACCAGAGCGCACGGCGGTCCAGCAGAAAGAGAGAACACCTATGGATATTTTCATCCGCAAGCTGGTCTATGTTGATCTGTGCAAGCGCAATGCGAATAAGATCCTAAGACAAATCCAAAAGCTGCACTGGGAGGAGGCAGAGGTACGCGACACTCATTGGAAAGAAATATTCGTGTTTATTGTATTGCTAACGCAGCATCTAGGTTGTTCACACTCTACGCAAGGTGTTTTGTCGCCCTAGCAAAGTCAAGTACGGGAACATCCACCTTCTTGCGGGTCTCCTTGGTGCTCTTTACCGGCACCATTCGGCTTTTGTCATTGACATCGTCGACGACGTGATCGAGTCGATTACTTTTGGCTTGGAGCAAAACGACTTTCGGATGAACCAGAAGCGACTGGCCGAGGTCAAGTATCTTGGCGAGTTCTACACGTACCGTCTGCTTGAGCATCCGGTCGTCTTTGACATGATGTATAGAATCCTGACTCTTGGCAATGGTGGTCCCCCCGCCCCTGGTCGTATCAATCCCATTGATCTTCCGGATGAGTACTTCCGTATCCGGCTCGTTGCTACTCTTCTTGAGACTACCGGAACCTACTTCAACAAGGGTGCAGCTGGAAAGAAGCTGGATTACTTTCTGTCTTTCTTCCAGTACTACATCTTTACGAAGAACCCTCTTCCCATGGACATTGAGTTTATCGTTCAGGACATATTTGCCCTTCTTCGGCCTCAGTGGAGACTGGCAACAAATTTTGACGACGCTGTCAAGGTATTCCAGCTTGCCGTGGCCCAAGACCAGAAGGCCACCGGGGCCGACAAAGTGGTGGAACAATATGACGGGGCGGCATCTGACGACGAGTCGTCGGAAGATGAGATCGACAACGCCGACGACCTAGCCGTTGGAGATGCGGAGGTCGACGACGATCTGTCTTCGGTTGATGAGGAAGGAGAGGTACGTTACATGTGCTTCTAGAAACCATGATTCAGGCTTTTTGTTATTTTACACGCACTGACCATTTTTGTTGTTGCGTTTAGGACGACGGTGATAGACAAGATTCCGATGATCACAGCGAGTCTGAAGACGAAGAGATTGTTGTGACGCGTGAGGAGGAGGAGATTGATCCCGAGGACGAGGCCGAATTTGAACGCGAGTACGCTAGGATGATGGCAGAAAGCTTGGAGACACGCAAATTCGACCGAAAGCCCATGTTCGACGTGGCTCTCCCGGTGCGCCAAAAGACCCGTGAAGCGACATCCACTGCTGCTGATACAAATGGCGGTGCTGGAAATGGGGACGACAACGCCCCGTCGTCAACAATGGCGTTCTCTCTCTTGACAAAGAAGGGTAACCGCCAGCAAACTCGTACGCTGGAGCTTCCTTCCGACTCTGAGTTTGCGGTGGCTATGAGAAACCAGCAACAGGCAGAAAAGGAAGAACAGCAACGCATCAAGAACCTGGTTCTGAATCTCGATCTTAGAGAGAGCGATGAGACAGATGGTAAGACTTTAGTCCTTTTTTTTGAAGTCTCTAATTGTTCAAATGCTTATTATTATTTTCTGTGCACAGGCCACGAAAAGCCCTCATCCTACTTTCACAACCGTTCAGACAAGGGCGGCAAAGACCGCACACAGCGCGTGCGGAAGCTGCAACTCAGCGACGTTGATTGGTATGTGACGCCAATGTCCCCAACTTTCCAATAAGACCGATGCCGGCCTAACCAATGTCTTTCTGCCAGTAGGACTTAATACGATAACATCTTCGGATTGAATCGCTCCTGTTAAAACCTCTCAGCTCTCGCCCACGTCGTCGATGGCACAATCTGACGGAGTCTTGGCTCGCAACGCGGACATAGTTGCACAAACTGATCTTGAAACGTCTCTATGAAATGGCCTGAGCATCTTATTTTGGATGCTATGCAGTCCTGGCATATCGCCCATCACGACAGCAAGAGAACCGGCTAAGTATATCGACCAGCTAGGGATTGCCGTTCCAGCAGGTGAACTGTAGGCGCAGTGACCGTATCGTCAGATGACATATTTCACGACGAATAGCTCGCCACGTCGGTGGTGTGCCCTTGTTGGCGTCGTTTCAAACTCCAAGTCATGGAATGGCGCGCAGTTTGTCAACGTAGACTGGAAACAATTTCTCTTTGACGACGGAGCAACATCATTTGCTAAGACACGAGGAAGAATGAATACAATAGTGCCTGCGAAGCACCCACGCTCCCAATCCAAGTCATGTCGTTGGTGTAGACTGAGTCCTTGTATAGTTAACACAACATGTTGCAACTCGTTGCATTTTGCTGAGAGTAGATTTAATGGCTCTCGTGTGATCTGGACCATCCACTCTCGGAAAGAGATGCATTACGCTCCGAAATAATATCTAGAGCTTGAACGGTAGAAAACATAAGGGGCAAAGCCCACTGCAAGGAAAGAACGGCGCTGGCTATTATCATGTGAATAATATTTCGAAGCACGGAAGTCTCCATGTTGACAGTAAACAATGTCTCCTGTTCATGTACGTCGCCCCTTCCGTTCGAGCTGCGCAATGTGAACTGCCTCTTCATCTTCGTGGCAGGTGCTTCAGCCCGCGATTTTGAGCCACGGAGTTTGCGGTCGCTTCTACAAATAGCCATACCTATTAAACCTGATCCTGGTAATTTGTGCCACGATTCACCAGTGTACGCATCCGATTTGTGACTGCAATTTATCCTAATTGCCCCTTCCCACGAGATCCCGTCGAACATCTCTCCGTCTGCTTTTCGGGCAAATTTGGTGGGTCGTCTTCACTTGACTCTACTTATTCATTATATTGCGGTTACGCGTCTTTCACGCTTTCCATTTTTGCCAAGGTGAGACCGGATGAGGAAGACAGGGAAAGAGCGAAGGTCGATTGAACAGGTTGAAACGGAAAGAGCCTACCTCTAGTGACCTGGGTCGCTCCTGCACGTATGTTTGCAAAAGACTGTTTGGACATCTGAACAGGTGAATGCAAAGCTGCATACACGACTCTCGCGCCTCCTTGTTGCCTTTTTTGTACGACTGTCATTCCGCATCTGCCACATCACGACCTTCACAAAAAAGCCCCAAAACAGATAGTACAACCTGTCTACCTCCGCCCCGACATTTCCACCATCTCAATTCTTTCAACATTTGTTCTCGTTCAGGGCTAGCACCGCAGTTCATGATACGAGCCTCATTACTAGACCCGGCAGTCGGCTCCGTCCAGGAGGTCGCGAAAGCCTGCTTCTCGCCCAGAGTGTAATTATGTCCACTACTTTCTCGTTTACTCCGTCACCCGCTGCCCAGCGGATTCCTACCTATGAACCAGCCATCCATTCAGCCTGTATAGCAGCTAAGTATGCTCTTGGATCTGTTTTGAACCGTTGGACACTTTATTTGCCCCCGTCCAAATGAAGCTACCATCCAGGACCGCACTGCCGCCTTGGGCCATGTTGCTTCCATCCCCATCTCTGCCGTTATTCCTGCACGGCGTCGTCTCGCTACTTCCTGTGGCCTATAGCCTCTTTCTTTGACCATTTTGCAATCATTCCGCTTATTGTCTGTTTCCCAGTGCCGTCTCGGGTTTCCTGTTCTAGCGGCCACTCTGGAGCATTGACTCGTTGCTAACGCTTTTTTCGCTGTCGGCCAGATGAACCACAGTGGATCACCACGATCTAAGAGGGCTCAAAACATGGAGTCCGCGAGGACGGGAGGATGAGCGAGCATATTGCGACGACGAATAGCCTCATTGACAGCGAAAAAATCTTAGGAAAAGTCGAGTGCTACTGCAAAAGCTCACAGAGAGCCTGTTCTATCCTTAAGTGGTTATATGCACAGCTTCTTTCGTGGACAGTTGTTTCCTTAGACCAAGTTGATACTCGTCATCGCCGGCCTCTCCTTATCCCGTCTTTTTTCTCCCTTCTCGCTTGGCCGGCCGCCCGTCACTGTGTTTCTGAAATTTTTGTGTCAATCCTGCTATTCGCCTGTTCTCATGCACTGGTTCGGAACACTCTGATTCTTCTTTCCTTCATCATCTCCACAACGGGCCATAAACGCCACGCGTTCCTCTTACCTCTCTCGTTGCATCTTTGCTCGATCTCGTTTATACGACCCGGTTGCCCGACCTCCATTTCCTGATACTGTGTTCCTTTCTATCTCCTAGTTATACCTTTTCAACTCGTGAGCTCTCTTCTCCTTTCACATCTCAATACTGATCTTACACAATCCAACGTCTCATCAGTACCTGGTCAGTGTCCGCATCAAGAGGGCAAGGGAGACTTTAACGGAACCAGAGAGACACAACATCAGTCAACTCGAAGACGTCCTGATTACCTGAATTATCGTTCGGTCGTACTTGTGTTACGCAAATACCAGCACCTGGCACCTTTTGTCACTCCTACCACAGTGCCACAGCTTCATGCGCAGCATAGCACGATATCCTTTGTGTTGACAAACGACTAATCACGAATGCGACCGCGCTGAGAATTCAACACGAGCCTAAGTGTACATCTTCTGGATCACGATATTCTCTCGCTTACCAACAATCGTGCTCCCCGTCGCAAATGCACCCTGCTGGTTTCGCCTCGACACTCCGTTTCCACAAGCCCCTGGTACTGTTGCACGAGCTCTCGTGTTGTTTTTCTCGACTGTTCCTTGACTACGATCCCCCCACAGCAGGCCCGTCGCTATTGTTAACCCCTGTTTTTACGACACATACCACATCGTGTGTATCCTGGTTGCCTTGTTGTTCCACCCGCCACGCTCTGCAGGTAACCGGCTGTTGCCTCCTCAGTGTAAACTTCACAGCAAGAAGTACAGGCCAACAATCCGCGGCGAGAAAGAGTAGGAAAGCCCAATCTACCACGGATCATCGTATTTTGATTTTGCACTTGCAGTCTCTGGGCCTATTATTAAACAACTGCATCGGACTTCACTCCACAAGTTCACGACCTGCGAACAGGACTACAAGGAGGCACTACTAAGCTTTGGAACCGGATGGCTGCATGACAACGCATTTTCGTCATTTTTCACACCCCCTTCAACTGCGTCCTATTTTGTCCGCCTCCTATCCGAACACTTGCCTTAAAATAACAACATTCTTTGCCGCATACTTGTCGCCTCTCGATACAAATAGGTGTGGCCCCGCCAGCAGCTGAGGCTTTGCCAAAGCTGTTATATAGGGCCATCTCGGCGACACCAATGCGCATTGGCAACCTCAATACGTCGTAATTGCAACCTGGGCTGGTCCTTCAGTGAAAGAAAATGGCGACAAACATTGACACCCCGTGGCCAATCCACGACGTGAGTATTCGCAATCCAATTTAATGCAGTTTTGATACTTCGCTAACAATTCCTTGACCAGATTGTCTACACCGCTATTGTCGGATTGGTCATGGTCGCAGCCTGTCTAGAATGGTTCTTATGGATTGCGGCTTTCCTATATTGCTTATGGAAAGTGTTCCGGAAAGCTGAGCATTGGACGGTCAATGTCCTGGCTATTATTGTTGGACTAGCGTTTACATTATTACGGTTTGTTGTCTGCCCCTGACTTTTGATGTTCCAACAGAGACAAAATACGCTAACACAACCGATTTCCCATTGCAGGTTTATCTTTTTGCCCATTATGATCGTGACGCTTCCTCTACCTTCCGCCGTTGTGCGAATGTGGCCTGCCGGTATGGTCTCTGTTTTACAGTGGTTTGCATTCTGGAGCTTTGCAGGCCTCTTGACTGTTCCATGGCTATTCTGCATCTACCAGATCGTCACACACCAATTGGGACGAACAAAGAGAATCAAACAAGTCCTGGACGAAATATCGGCACCAAAGGTCGTTGTTGTCATGCCGTGCTACCGGGAAGAACCTGAAGTCCTCATAACAGCAATCAACTCTGTTGTTGAGTGCGATTATCCTCCATCCTGTATCCACGTCTTCTTATCATTCGACGGTGACCAGGAAGATGAGCTTTATCTCAACACGATCGAAAAACTAGGGGTGCCACTGACCCTTGATTCATACCCGAAAAGCATTGACGTGACCTACCACTCGGCACGCGTCACCGTTTCCCGTTTCCCGCACGGTGGGAAGAGGCATTGCCAGAAGTCAACATTTAAACTCATCGACCGCGTCTATCAGCAATACTTGAAGCGGAACGACAACTTGTTCATACTTTTCATCGACTCTGATTGCATCCTTGACCGCGTATGTCTTCAAAATTTCGTCTACGACATGGAACTGAGCCCTGGCAACCGACGCGACATGCTAGCCATGACAGGTGTCATCACATCCACGACTCAACGTCACAGCTTGATTACGCTTTTGCAAGATATGGAGTACGTGCACGGCCAGCTGTTTGAGCGGACAGTTGAGTCTGGCTGTGGTGCTGTCACTTGTCTTCCAGGCGCACTTACGATGCTGCGCTTCTCTGCATTCCGACGTATGGCCAAATATTACTTTGCCGATAAAGCTGAGCAGTGTGAGGACCTGTTCGACTTTGCCAAGTGTCATCTTGGCGAGGACCGTTGGCTCACACATCTGTTCATGATCGGTGCCAAGAAGCGGTATCAGATCCAGATGTGCACGTCTGCTTTCTGCAAAACGGAGGCCGTCCAGACGGTCAAGTCACTTATCAAGCAGCGCCGCCGCTGGTTTCTAGGTTTCATCACCAATGAGGTGTGCATGTTGACGGACTGGCGTCTCTGGAAGCGATATCCTATTCTGATCCTAGTTCGCTTCATGCAAAATACAATCCGAACAACTGCCTTACTCTTCTTTATCATGGTGTTGGCACTCATGACAACATCGAAGAAGATAGCCGATCTGCCGGTGGGGTTTATTGGCGTGTCCTTGGGTCTAAACTGGGTCTTGATGATCTATTTTGGCTTCAAGCTCCGTCGGTTCAAAATCATGCTTTACCCGCTCATGTTCATTCTCAACCCGTTTTTCAACTGGTATTACATGGTATATGGTATCTTCACGGCCGGCCAGCGAACATGGGGCGGCCCTCGGGCTGATGCAGCCGCCGCCGACGGGGAGAAGACGACAGTGCAAGAGGCGATTGAGAAGGCTGAGGAGCAGGGCGACGATCTCAATATTGTCCCGGAGACGTTTCTTCCTGCTGCTGAGGTTCAACGCCAAAAGAGTGGTAAGCGATTGGCTGTTGCAGACGGAAAATCCATATCGGGTCCCGGTGGGCGCTTGGTCGTCACTTCAGGTGCCAAAGGACTGGACGCGGCTGCCATTGCTTCCATTGGTGATACAGGTGTCTCTCGGGCGACAGCAAATACTTCGCAGTTTGGCAGACCCGATACAGTCGGCGAGGGTAGCTATTTCGAGAGAAAGAACGCACCCCAAAGCGGTTTTCCCTTGTCGCAGGATCAGCATGGCAACGCAAACGACGAAAATACCGTTAGCCGGTCCAAGAGTGGCCGAGTCATGTTGCAGCCACCGGACAAGATCGATGGCATGTTCTCTGCACCGGAGCGGTCGTCAACCGGCTGGTATCATTATCCGGACGACTCGCTGATCAGTCTAAATCTTCTCGGCCAGTCGTCGCCATCACTTCTCAACAACAATGGCAACTACCTTGGCAACAGAGGGCGGAACAGCCCGTACATCACGCTACACCCCCGGGACTCGTTTGAGAGTTTCTTATCAAACAACACAATTCCGGGAGGCAGTGGCGGTGGACACAATAACTCCGTCTACATGCCACGCCGAGTGGAAAGTATCATGAGCGATGAAGACCGTCGAAAATATGAAATGGCCCAAGCGAGCCAGCTGAGCTTCCCGGGCACGACTGTCACGGGTACAACGACCGTGGCAGGCCATCATCTTCTTGGTATGCCGTCACCAGGCCAGGTGTACGAGTACCGTTCAGACGCAGAAATGCAACAGGCCGGTTTCTACACGGACGCCGAGGTGGCTGCGAACACGGGCGACGGGCAAGGCCACAGAGAGGTCAATAGCCACCATTTGGCGCCTCGACGCCCCGACCACAGAAGGCTAGCCAGCAATGACAGCATTGGCTCACGGCACTCTGCCTCGCGCTCAGTTTCCGCTGCATCCTCACCGGACCTTCAGCCACAACCTACCATGTCAGCTATGCCTCCGCACTCTCCCTTGGGCGGGGGCGGTTCGCTTACACAGGTAGGCTCGACCGTCCGTCCTAGCCCGCTCGGACGCCTCAGCTATATAGCAAGGTCTCCAAGCAGCGAGGAGGAGAGAGACGCAGACGACCAGAGCGCTGAAGACAAGGGAGCAGACGACGCCAAGCTACAAGCGAATCTATAGCCTCCCTCGCTGAGGAAGGAGAGGAGACAGTGAAGAGTGATATGTGGTCCAGGGGGACCATCACGCATCATTAAGACTGACAGGTGGCGCGCGCGCGTGAATAATTAGCAGAGGACCGTCAAAGGAAACAAGTTAAAAGTAGTTCAAAGATGTAAGGGCGCCTGATGTTTAATACTTTGTGCTATTTTCGCGCTTATCTCTTAAATCATCCGTTATAGAAAACTGCATAATGCGATTTTAAAAAAAGAGTCCAGCGCTTTCACTGATGAAGCCCAATGAAAGACGCGTACACGCGCAGTGGAAGGTACCTTGTCGTGACTTCATCTGTAGTCGAATTGGGAAGGCGGTGAGCCGCCCACGTTGTTTTTCTTCAGGTGAGATCAGAGTTTTGCATACTAAGAACTGTAGGAAGTTGCCCCTCCTACCCTGCGCCTTCCCCGTTGCTAGGAACATCTGGAAGCTTCTTTACGCTTCTTGGCCCAACGGCCAGTTTGTTGCCCTGGAACAAGGCTGGGCATCGCTAAATAGGTATCAACAACAAGCATCCCTCGCTTTGGCTTTTCGCAGTTTGGACTTTGGCATACTTTTCTTAATTTAAAAAAATCTCTCGTCTTTGATCTCTTTTCCTCTTTCGAAATCAGTATCACCAACTTTTTTCCCATTCTTTCTATTACCGAGCCTGAGTTTACGACAAAGGTACTTCTGAGGTACAACGCACACCAAAGAATAGCTTCTTCTGAGTTGCCCCTCCGTCGCTCTTGCCGCCTCCTGCTCTGTGTGGACGCTTTTATTCTGCCTTGTCGCTCCTTCCCCTCCCCCTCCAAACGGACAGTTACGGGGGTAGAAACGCAGAGAAAGAGAAGGAGTAGCCAAGGCGAAAGCCAGCAACGACCCCACTATTATTATTCAACCTAGTCAGCAGCCGCCTTCTTTCCTCTAGTTTTTTTTTTCTGCTTCCCACAGCGACCGCAGACGACCGAGAGATACATAATAAAGGTGACCAAAAAAAGGTTTTCCTCTGATTACACCCTACCGCATCTCAACTCTGCCATCGTAATCACCGAATTGTCCTCACCCTCTCCCAACGGACCTGGTACGGCCCATCGCAAACGAACCCCTCTCTCCCTTCAGCTGCCGTTCAGATCACAATTGATCTAAGCTCGCCCATCCCACCTACATCAACATCTCTCCCGGCCGTTTCGCATATACTCGCCCATCATGAGTGTTGTCGGTAAGTTTTGACGCCTAGGCCATGCCTCGGCATTCCTGTCGCACTTCCGCTGCTCCCGGGAGGCAGTTTGCTATTGCGGTCCACTAACAATGTCACAGGTGTTGATTTGGGCACCATGAACACGGTCGTCGCCGTGGCCCGCAACCGTGGTGTCGACGTGGTAAGTTATTCGTGCCTTGTCCCGTTGTGGTTCGATCGTTCCTTTTTGCTTCTAGCCAGCGTTGTGGCACAGTCACAACGCTGTCGCCGCCTGGCCTCTGCTTCTCCGACTGTTCCCTCGCCCTACTTTCGCTTCGCGGCCCAACAAGCTTTGCTAACGACCGTCCCCTTTCTGTAGATCACCAACGAGGTGTCCAACCGCGCGACTCCGTGAGTCTATACCCATCCTGGCTTACTTCCCTACTCGGGATGCATTCCCCTCCGGTCCCGACTCTGTCTAACATGTTTCTTTTAGTTCTCTCGTCGGCTTCGGCCCCAAGAACCGCTACCTCGGTGAGGCCGCCAAGACACAGGAGATCTCCAACCTGAAGAACACCGTCTCTTCTCTGAAGCGCCTTGTCGGCCGTTCCTTTAAGGAGGCCGACATCCAGATCGAGCAGCAGTACATCTCTGCGCCGCTCATCGACGTCAATGGCGAGGTCGGCGCTGAGGTTTCGTACCTCGGCAAGAAGGAGCGCTTCTCTGCGACACAGCTGCTGGCCATGTTCATTGGCAAGATCAAGCAGTCGACCGCCGACGAGATCAAGGTCCCTGTCACCAACTTGGTCTTGAGCGTTCCTGCCTGGTTCACTGACCGTCAACGCCGCAGCCTCATCACAGCCCTCAACATTGCTGACCTGTCGGTGCAGCGCCTGCTGAACGACACCACTGCCGCCGCCCTTGGCTACGGCATCACCAAGCTTGACCTGCCCACCGGTGACGAGAAGCCCCGCCGCGTCATGTTCGTCGATGTCGGCCACTCTACCTTCACCGCCTCGGTCGTCGAGTTCCGCAAGGGCGAGCTCACCGTCAAGGGCACTGCATTTGACCGCCACTACGGTGGCCGCGACTTTGACAAGGCCATTGTCGACCACTTCCAGAGGGAGTTCGTCGCCAATCCCAAGCTGGCCGTGGACATCAACACGAACGCTCGTGCTCGTGCTCGTGTCCTGGTCGCCGCCGAGAAGCTCAAGAAGATTCTTTCCGCCAACCAGACCGCCCCCCTGAACATTGAGATGCTGATGGAAGACAAGGACGTCTCCACTTCGCTGTCCCGCGCCGACTTCGAGTCGCTGGTTGAGCCTCTGCTGTCCCGAACCACCGTGCCCCTGATGCAGGCTCTGGCCGACGCCGGCCTGTCCAAGGAGGACATTGACATCGTCGAGGTCGTTGGTGGCGGTGCCCGTGTCCCTGCCATCAAGGAGCGCATCCAGGAGTTCTTCGGCAAGCCGCTGTCCTTCACCCTGAACCAGGACGAGGCCGTTGCCCGGGGTTGTGCTTTCGCCAGCGCCCTGCAGTCGCCCATCTTCCGCGTGCGCGAGTTCGCCGTGCACGATGTTGTCTCCTACCCCATCGAGTTCACCTGGGAGAAGGCCAACGATATTCCCGACGAGGAGCCAAACCTGGTTGTCTTTGGCAAGGGTAACGCCATGCCCTCCACCAAGGTCCTGACCTTCTTCCGGAAACGGCCTTTTGACCTGGAGGCCCGCTACTACGAGCCGCAGGACATCCCCGCTGGCATGAAGCCGTGGATCGCCCGCTTCTCCGTCAAAGGCGTCAAGCCCACAATTGGTGGCCCCGACGACTATATGACTTGCAAGCTGCGTGCCCGCGTCAACCCTGACGGTGTCCTAAATCTGGACAGCGCCTACTCTGTCGAGGACCAGGAGGTCGAAGAGGAAATCAAAGAAGAGGAGCCGCCAAAGACGGACGACGCTGCCGCTCCGACAGGCGAAGCTATGGACACGGACGCCCCTGCGGAGGAAGTCAAGCCCAAGACCCGCAAGGTCCGCAAACAGGTCCGTAAGGACAACCTGCCGGTCGTCTCGGCTGCCAACGCTCTGGAGCAGCCCGCCGTTGAGGATGCCAAGGAGAAGGAAGGCAAGATGACTGCCAACGACAAGCTCGTTTTCGACACAGAGGAGATGAAGAACTCGCTCGAGTCCTACATCTACGACGTCCGCGACAAGCTCACCAAGAGCGACTCCGGCGAGGAGGAATACGATGGCATCTACGTCAAGTTCTCCAGCGACAGCGACCGGGAAAAGATCCTGGCCAAGCTGACCGCCACCCAGGACTGGCTCGAGGATGATGGCTACGACACCACCATGTCCATCTATCGCTCCAAGAAGGAGGAGATCAGCGCTCTTGTCGGTCCCATCCACCAGCGTTGGTGGGAGCAGAACGAGATTGAGCGCCAGAAGCTGGCTGCTGAGCTGGCCCAGAAGGCTGCCGCCAAGAAGGCGACTGAGGAGGCTGCCATTGCTAATAACGCGGCCAACGGTGACCCCAACGCCCCGGATGCCGAGATGACCGACGCCGACCCGGCTAAGAACCCCACGATTGAGGAGGTCGACTGAATGGCAGACGGTGAAATGTAGATAACGAGAAAGAATTCTGACGATAAAAACCCGATTTAGATCATGAAGGAACAAAGGGAAGGATAGTGACTTTTGTGTTTTTTTTTTTTTTTTTTTTTTTGTTATGGATTATTGCTTTCCATCTTCATTTTCTGTTGTTTTCATGCGAGATAAATTTGAAATGAGGTTTGTTTTTTTAGTTATTCACAGTGTGTTTATTGTATTGGGACATTTTTGACTAAACAACGACGGTCACACATACAATCGTCACATCAACCATGGCCAAGCGAGGGGCACCACTGTTTCGCGATAATTTCAAGAATTGTTTTAGAAGGACTCTCCATAGGCATCATTTCATTGATAAATAAATAAAAATCAGAACTCCATGATACAATACGGATTGCCAAGAAAATTAAACGCTTCTCTGCAACCACGGCATTCTTCGTCACCTAAAATTGTGCTACTCATAAGTCTTATTTATTGTATTTGATGTTATTTCCAAAATTAAATGTAAACTTTTCTCTTTAGAAGGACAAAACAAAACGCAAGATGTGGTAGCAAAAAAGAAACAAAACCAAAATGAATAAAGTACATGAAAAACCACCTTCTTATTTTAGCGTAAAACCGAGGCAAAATGAATCACATGAGAATTCAACATGTATATGAAAAGAGGGACAAGACATCTAGAGTATGCGTTTCTTGGCTCCGGTTCCTAGATCACGTTGAAGACGGGTTTCAGCTTGATCAGCAGCTTCCACTCGTCGTCCGAGACGTCGCTACGGTAGAACTCCTTCAGTGTGTCGATACTGGCACGCGAAATCTGGCTGATGAGGGTATCGGACTCCTCCAGATGACGGCCATAGGCTGGCTGGTGGCCACCCATCTCGATCTTAACGGCCACAGACGGTTGGCCCTTTTTGCAGATCTGGATTTGCTTGTGTTCGCGCTCAATGGAGGTCCTAAACGCTTAGTTAGTATGGGAATGGCTTTTTTTTCTTTAACATCTGTTAAGAGTTTGAAAGGGCAAACGTACACTCTGCCGACGCTGATAATCTCCTTCTGGTTGGTGTTGGGGTTGGTCTTGACGACGGCCAACGGCGTGTTGATGCGCAGGTTGCCCTCGACAACATCGACACCCACGACAATAGGGGCCGTCTTGTTGAAGACAGCGACGGTGTTGAGCACGCAAGGGAAGACAGCTAGCATCTTGGACTCCTCCTTCTTCTTCTCGCTCAGGACGGCCATGTGCTTGGTGAAGGCGTCAAACAAGTGGTAGATAATGTCGGCCGTAAAGATCTTGACCCCCTGCTCTTCGGCGTAGGCGGCAGCCTCCTTGTCGACCTTGACATCGAAACACAGCATGACCGCGTAGTCGGGGCTCTTTTCCAGCATGATACCGGTCTGCATGACATCACGCTTGTAGACCGGGCCAATGCCGACATTGGCGACGGGGATCTTGCAGTCCTTCAAAAAGTCTAGCAGAGCCTCGAGCGAACCCAGCGTCGATGCCTGCACACTGACACCGCGACCGGACTTCTCAACACGGCTGAAGACGGAGGCGAGATCGGACTCGACCTCCTCCTCAAGGTCGTCCTCGTCGTCGTACTTGCCGACAACCAACAGCCGAGAACCAGCAATAGCGCCCTCGAGGCCGGGCGCGCTAATCTTGACACCCATGGCGGCCTTAACCTCCTTGTTGTGCACGTAGGCAGACCGGACACGCAACTCGCGCATTGGTGCAGGTGTGAGCAGGGCTCTAATATTTGTTTTGATAACACCCTCGACACCGCACAATATAATGCGGTCACCCTCACGCAGGATACCGTTCGACAAGATGACGTCAATGGTCATACCGAAGCCCTCGATGGCCTTGACTTCGAGCACGGTCGCCTGCACCTCGGACAGGTACATCAGCGATTCAGCCATACGTTCCTGGGTCAAGTGGACGAGCAGCTTCAGCATGTCAGGGACACCCTCGCCTGTGTGGGCGGAGGTGGGCACCAGCGACACGACACGGGACTTTTGCTTGTTGTCGTAGAAGAGCTCCGAGTTGAAACCCTGCTCGGCAAAGGCGACCTTGGTCTGCTCGAGGCGCTTGGCGAACTCGTTCTGGACGCCTCGGTTCTGCAGCGCCAGACTGTCCTGGAAGCCGTTGTTGTCAACCTTCTTCCAGCCATAGAGACGATCGATCTTGTTGAGGGCGACAATAAAGGGCGTTTTCCGGTCACGCAGCATGCGCATAGACTCGAGCGTCTGGGGCTCCAGACCGTGCATGATGTCGACGACCAGGATAGCAATGTTACACAGCGACGAACCACGGGAACGGAGGTTGGAGAACGACTCGTGACCGGGGGTGTCGATGATAAGCAGACCGGGGACCTTGAAGTCGAACGAGTTGTCCTTGTTGACAACCTGGGTCTTTTGTCGAATGGCCTCGATGGGGAAGTACGTAGCACCGATCTGCTGAGTAATACCACCTGCTTCGCCTTCCTGGACGTTGGTCTGGCGGACCTTGTCCAGCAGCTTGGTCTTGCCTGTGTCAACGTGGCCCATGATACAGCAAATGGGCGACCGCAGGTTGTCTTTGGACCGTGCAGCCAGAGCGGCCTGGTGCTCCTTCTCGCGCAGCTCGGCCAGCTCACGCTTGCGCTGCGCCTCGGCAGCCTTGGCGGCCGATTCCTGCTCGTCCTCGCTGGTGTCTTCGTCGCTGTCATCCTCGCTGTCCTCATCGCTGTCGTCGTCGTCGTCATTCTCGTCGTCGTCGTCGTCGTCGTCGTCGTCCTCGCCCTCCCCGCTCTTCTTCTTTGGCCGGACCGGCAGAGACTTCTTGTCTTCCTCATCCGAGTCGGCGTCCCAGCTGTCCTTGACATCCTCCGTCTTGGAAGCAGCGGCGGCAGCAGTCTCCCAGTCATCGTCAATATCGCTCTCGGCGGTGGCGGCAGCCTTGCTTTCCTCCTCCTTGGCCTTCTTCTTGGCAGCCTTCTCGCGCTCCTCGGCCTCCTTGGCCAGCTTCTCGGCGTTCAGGCGTGCGCGCTCCGCAGCCTCGGCCAAGACCTTCTCCTCGTCAACCTTGGCCTTGCGGCCGGCATTGCGCTTCCGGTCCGCTGTGGACGACTTCTTCTTGTCCTCATCGGCGCCCGTCTGATCCAGACCGCCTACCTTGATGCCCGCAGCCATCATCTGCTGGAGCTTCTGCTCGTTGCGAGCCTTGGCCTCCTTCTGTGCCTTGGTAAGGTACTTGCCCTCCCTCTTGAGCTGCTCGATCCGCTCCTTCTCCTTTTGCTTCTTTAATGCTCTTTGTTCTTCCTTGCGCTTCGCCTCTTCGGCCTCTTGCCGCTCGAGCTCCGCAATGCGGGCCTTCTCTTGTTCCAAGAGACGCTGCTCCTTTTCTGCGCGGAGACGGAGCTCCTCCTGCTGTTTCTGAATAGCGAGCAAGTGTGCAGGGATCTTCTTTTTCTTGCCACCGGCCGCGGCAGGTTCGGGGGCGGGAACCGCAGCAGCAGCAGCAGCAGCAACAGGTGCGGCAGCAGCTGCGGGTGCGGCCTTAGCTGGTGCCTTTGCCGGCTCAGACTTCTTTTTGCTGGCCTGCTCCTTCTTCCGTTGCTTCTCGCGTTCTTTCTTGAGTTTTTCCTTCTCGGCCTTAGTCAGTATGCGGCCGCTGTTGTCGTCATCCTCGTCTGCAGGCTCGGCCTTTGCGGGTGCCTGCTTGCCCTTGCCGCCCTTGCCTTTCTTCTCGGGGAGGGCAAACTCGTCGTCCATGGTGGCCTCAACGGGCGCCTTGTCGGCCAGCACGGCAGCAGGCTCAGCTGAGGCATCGCCATTGCCGTTCGTGGCGTTGGGATCCTCAAACTCCTCGGAGAGGCCCTTCTTCTTGCGCTTCTCCTTGTTCTTGCGCAGCACGGCCATCAGGCCGCCGCCGCCGCCGCCGCCTTCGTCGTCGTCGTCATTCTTGGCGTCACCGTCGGCGGGCGGGGCCGTAGACACGGGTGCGATGCTCTCGCCGAGTTCGGCTTCCCAATCGTCGTTGGCCTTCTTGCCTCCCTTCTTCTTCGGCGGCATCGTGGCAGATTCGTAGTACCACGTGGAAAAGGGAGGGGGAGAGGGGATGTGGGGGCCGGTATGGTATGTGACGCGTTCCGTCGGTTGTCAGCACTATCTCGTATACAAGATAAGTGCAGTTGTTCGTTCTTGTTTGTTGTCGTAACAAGATATCGACAGAGGCTGTTGGCGAGAACAAAGTGTTGAGGATTTCTGAAAACGGCAGAAAAAAAATAGCCAGGGCGAAACTAAGTCTAAGTTAATGGCTACCCAGCCTAAGAAAGGTAGGCGCGGGTGGGCAAAAAATTAAGTCCGGTAGGCAAGAACATATCTTTTTGCAGTATTTCAGCGCGTGTGTGCGGGGAAGGCAAGACGGATGACACTTGCGCAACTTACCTGGCCTGGCCAGCGCATGAGGGGCAATTCACTGACACTGATATGCGCCACTGCTGCAGCGCCCATCTAGCCCAATACGGCGGCCCCACTAATTATACTCGTTTGAGAAAAGACCATAGATCGATTTTGTACGGCAACAATGAACCCCTGACTCTGCAGTATTTTGTAGATGTTCGACGACAACGATGACCATTTTATGTGAATTAATATAGAAACTATTTAGAACACAGTTTTTCAAATAGAAAAAATAAAAAATAAAATTCGTGTGAAGTAATTTGTTTTCTTTGACTGGTACACACACACACATATATATAAACTAAAACCTATACTTGCCTTATTTCTTCTGAATCACTCAACCTACTGTCAATTGTACTGTCACATGCGGTTTAAGCTTTGCATAGCTCTCACGACGTCACCGTCACAGCCAGTGTTCAAGCATTTTTATTAAGCCCGACAGTACGGCTTGGCTTACGGGCTTCACAACAGAGAACCCGGTCCTCCAAATGCATCCTAACTCGGCCTTGCCTTGAAATTTTCTTATGTTTGTTGCTGTAGTTTACTTTTATAAATGAGGCCGCACCACCCGGACGGTCAACAAATGCACCTCCTAACCAGCAAGCAACTGCAACAATATCAAACCGAACGAGCCAAAACCTTCTACTATCGTATAATCTGCAGCCTACCATCCGCCTCTAAGAATCCGCACTTCTGTAAAGTTAAATCCGGGACCCAAATGTCGTAGTAATGCGCCTAGAACAAAAGAAATCCGAACAAGCAAAGATCGTGAACAAATCATACGAAGATGACGGAACAGGGACAAAACAACAATAACCGACAAGAGGTGATGAGCATGTGGAGACGCCGAAGTACGAGTATGGTAGTCATGTATACTTTGCGCACGCAGTGTCGGCGTCATGCCTCAGATGGCCGGTTGCAGATAGTACTCCAAAATAGTGTAGAGCAACTTGATGCATCTGCGAGTTCGCTCATCGAGAGCTGGTTCGTGTGTTCCATTCGCCTCAGAATGCGTCCCTGCATTTAAGGTAGGTCCTTGCAGGTGGTCGAAGCCTGCCGTTAAGACACCATTGTCGAGCTTCTCAAGTACGGCATATAGTTTGGCGGCGCGTGAAGGCTTCGCGAAGAGCTGCTCGAGGGCTCGTTTGTCCAAGCACCGTTGTAGCATATCTCCATCAATGTGCATAACTGTACTGTCACTTGTTCTTGAATCGTTTTCATAGTCGTCGTCTTCGTCGTTTTCATCGTACGTAAAAGGAAAGAGAACTGGCGAGCTTAATGCGAATTCATGCACAAGTCGTAGAAGGCGCCATATCGGTAGGTCAAGGAGCGTAAAGTGTTGCAAAGACCCATCGAGGCATACACCTAGGATTTCTGCTTCGTCAGGCGTACTTGGGACGAGACCGTACTGCACCTCGCGCCGAGCCTGCTGCCAGCTTGGACGAGTCCGTCCACGCACAAGTTTACGCACCGACGCGGGCAAGTCGGCTTCGAAAATCACTGAGCAGTCTTTCCCCGGTTGCCGCCATGGGATCCACAATCCGGAAGCCGTCGCATCGCGACCACACACCAGAAGTAGAGACGTATCAAGATCGTTGCCTGATATCTTGCTGCCGATCTCAATCATGTGGGTTGCAGACCTTTGCTCCGAGTCTCCGTGGTACAGTGCCATCTCGCCTGGAGCGCCATCGGATATGTCGATGATCTCGACCGAGCCATCGTCGTCGGTCACTGCAACGAGCTTGTGATTGACAATCCGGAGAGATGTTGCAGATGAATTTAACTCGAACGTCCCGCATGTGCTTAGACGCTTCACCTCTAGATCCAATTTGTCCCAGTAAATCGTCGAGCCCACACAGGAGAATACATCCTCACCTCGGCTGACAACAGAATGCACGGGCTCGGCAAAGATCTTTTTGTATCGCGTCCAGTACTTGACTTTTGGTTGCTGGTCGACAATGGTGCGTGTCGTAGAAAGGATGAGGAAACGCCCACCCTTCGTGCAAACAAGCAAAAATACCCACTTGTCTCCCTGCCGTTCGTAGTTCCACTCACCTAGCGACAGTATCTGGTCGCCTGATTTGCCAAGGCCGGATACGAACTCAACGGCCTCGCCATTTTTGTCGGTCGGCATCGATTGGTCTTCTCCAGTGTCGGGATCGATAAATTGGAGCGTGGGCCGATTTTCAAGGTCCTTGATTGCTACAACCAAGCAGCCAAGCGTGTGGGAGTAGATCACCTTGGCAGGCGTGCCGTTGAGTGGTAAGCTACGTTGAACCGGCCCCGGCTGAGGGTGCAGTTCTGCCAGCATAAATTGTTTTGTTGACGAAAGCACAAGTTGCGTTTTGTTTAGGCGGCCAGGCAGACCGCCGGTTAGCACAGTCACGCTGTTGATATGTGGTGCTGGCTTGTTGAGGGCAGCGGCATCAAATGGCCAGACTGTGTGTGTCGATCGGCACGTGGCCGCCTTCTCTCCGGAGCCGTAATGCATAGAAATCCGGCCATCACATGTTGCCAGAACTGCTTTTCCGAGGTAAACGTCGTCGAGGATGACAACTTGCACCGTACTTGGGCCGATTCTTTCTACATTTCCGGAGAAAACCCCCGATTCATCAAGAATTAGGGTCACTAGATCGCCTGCTCTTGTTCCAAACACGATTGCAGCTTCGTTTTCACGTCGGGGCAGCAGGGCGACACTGCTGATTGATTCGAGAGGTCGATTCAACAGAGGATTCCCCCCATCGGATTGGCCATGCAAAATTTTAGTAAACTCATCTATGTCGTTGTTAGCAAAGTAATAGTCCGTAGGCACAATGACTGCGCTCCTACTAGTTATTATTAACTTACCGCTTCCTGGATCAATAAGCATCGACTGCGATTTTTCGCCGTCTTTGACGTGATAAATCAAAATTGACGGACTTCCATTGACCATGAGACCGACGACGATATATGGCGACCCCAAGAATGAAGACAAGCTGAGGCAGGTAGCATCACCCGGTAATTCAAATGTCTCCACTATGACAACAGTTTTGTCCGGCTTGAGCTGCAGTAGGTGTCCTGCAAACACAGTCCCTACTAGAGTTGAGATAGCCAAAAGGTCTCCAAATATGCAAGCATCTATGACTGTAACTTGTGGCTTCTGAAAGGTGTTGGTGTGCAGGTGTCTTGAGCTTTTTTTTCCAGTCAAGGTTAGAGAAGTTCTTTTGAATGGGTTGTACACCCCGTAGTCAACTTACCTTGAGCTGGGGCCGGAAAAGACAACATAGTTTTCCGTCACTTGCACGATCACGTCTTCGGACAACTGTGCTGCGACCAGCGTCCGGGATTCCAAGTCGTATAACGTGGTCCCTTCTTCGTGAATACCAACTTGGGCGAGATCGGCGGATAAATAGAAGACCTCGGACTTGTCAACCAAAGAGATTAAAACTTGAAACTCGATGTCATAGTCGTCGGTTCGTGTTGCAAATATCCAAGCCGTTTTGACAGGTACGGGATAGTCGACTTCAAGGCCCAAATCTGCGCGTAAGCCGTGTCGAAACTCGGTGATGGCTCCTGTAACACCACGACCAGAAGTACTGAAAATGCGGTCTGGACTTGACAAGTGAGGAGCAGCAGACAGTCTATTTGCGTCGCGACTCCTGGCCTCTATCTTGTTTCCTTTGGCTCCAACTAGCCCATTGACCGTGGCAAATTCGTCGGTGGTCACAAAATCAACGACTGGGGACCAATTTGGTATTTTCCCAAGCTGCATGTTGGGCTGCCGAGGTCGGATCTGCACCGATCACTGTTAGCATGGCAACTAGCCTGACCCTTTTTTTCTCACTCTAAGTTTGGCAACATACCTGCCATATTGTGCCCGGGCCGGAGTCACCGCCCATTATCAAAATATCATTGAAGTCGTCAAACAAGCTGCAAAATGCTGTGCCGATATTGCACTCAAATTTTCCAATCTCCACCGACGCACCGAGAATGTTGTCAGAGTTGATATCCAAAAACATGACAACGCCATCTTCCCGTGCAAGGTAGATGCTGTCTCGTGTTGTGTTGTATGTGGGGAGCCGGTATGGCCGCGTCCACGCTGCCCAATAGGGAATACCGCGACCATGGTGAAATCGCGATGTTTCGTGTACTTCCATTGCAAAGTCGTCGAACTCGGTGGGGAGATTGAGTGCATCCTTGCAAACGCCAATATGACGTGCTGATATAGCAAAAAAAGCGGAGTGAAGCGTCAGAGGCACGATCAAGATTGGCATCTGATGTTGTGGAGGGAGCGGGTGCCCCCTCTTCTCGTCCCTGAATACAGCTGCTAGGTTATCACCAGCTTCCCATTCGTACGTTACCATCCGAGACTTTCCATTGTTGACGATAATGAGTAGGAGAATGATGTGGTAGTCGTCTTCGGTACGTGGATACAAGAACTCCATCTTGTGTATGACGCCCTGCACGGCACGGGGGCGGGAGTATTTGATGGGTTTCAATGGTTTGTTTCGTGAGTATGCGTCGTTGAGCTTTTGAGAGGACTCCAGCTCGTGTACAATGAAAAGGTTTTCTGGGCAGGCAACAGCCATGTATCGAGAGCTGGGATCGACGCATGTGTGGAACCCGGGCTGCACGATTCGGTTACTGAGTGGCTGGCAATGTGTCGACACGAATATGGGGTTGTCGCCGCTTTGGGGGTGGATGAAAAGGAAAACACAGTCGCCGCTTTCGAGCACGACGAGAAGTTGTTGTGGAGGTAAACTCAGTCCGACTGCCTTGTCGGTCGACCGATGTGGCTTCATGCCCCCCATTTCCTCATCGCCAGATGTGCTGTTGTTGTCATCATTGTCCAGCTTGGAATCGTCTATTTCAGTCTTGATATGGACCTGAACCTCGTCGTTTTCATCGTCAGTGGCGCTCTCTGGGGATGTACCAATGACCTTGGCATTTCGAATACGGGACCCAAAATCGGTCTTGCGAACAATGTTGCGAAGCCGGCCATCTCGTCCTAGTTCACTGATTTGCACATAGTGGTCCTGGAAGTAGGTTAGGAGCTGGCAATGGAAAAGTGAATGATCCACCCATTATTTAGACAAGGATAACGACTAGGTGCACGTAGATAAGCAACGGAAGATGCGCGGAAACTTACTCCAATAACGGCAACGTCCATATGCTGTGCAGACCGTAGCCGCACAGGAAGCATCCAGTGTGCTACAGGACTCTCAATGACGGTTTTGGTAAGAATGCCAATAGTTGGGGGTTGGTCGATATGCTGTTCCGGTACACTGGGTTTGTTGTTGGTACCTGCCTTGAGCATATCGTTGATAGCGACCGTTTCCGTAACCCACTCGCCATCGCGAAGAACATCCGTCTGGAAAGCCATCCTCCACGCCGTTTCATGCCCCGAGGCCTAACGACAAGGCCGGAGCACGTCTTGACAGCAGACCAGGTATATGGGTAGGAACAAACTAGAGCCGTATTGCTGGCAGTAAACCGAAAATAGGTAGAAGAGGTTGAAGAGCGGGTGGCACCTATGAGCGTCTGTCGACCGACATGTGGAGAGACCGGCTGAAGGACAATGTGGTGCCTAGGTAACAGTTAGACCACGTTGTGCGTCTTTGACATTAAGTAGCATGGTAAAAATATACATAAAAACAATCCACTTGCGATATCACATCATTTTGTGCAGGTGTTTGTTTAAGAGCAGGGAGTCAAGGTCGTGTTTTTACCACCACTTGGAGCATAGGCTGAGAAAGAAAGGACGCACTGAAGGGGGCAAGGAGGGATGGATTGAAAAGAATGATTAGTGAAAGTAACGTGCATAAAACAACACGGCAGGTAAGTGAAGAGTAAAACACAGTGAGAAAAAAAACTCAAAGCGCACAAGGTTTTCCAGGAACAGTGAGCTGCTGCCCCTCTTACAAAGCAGCTCCTCGCCAATGGGCGGCAGAGCTGCAAATAAACGAGAGAGGGGCGGGATTTCTGGATACGCAAGGACTCATGTATGGGGGAGGGGGGCTTCGTAGAGAGAGATGAGAGAGGTCTCCAGCGGCACAATTGTGCGTAGAAGTGCTAACAGCAAAGAATATCAACAAGTAGCAATTGCAGCAGCCGTAAAAGTTTTGGAGAGATGACAAAATAAAACAAAGACGGACAACAGGAGGATGGTGTCGTAGAGGGCAAGACGAGACGACGGACGGGGCTCTGGGAGAAGTGGAAGAGAAGTTACACAAGACAACATGGACGTAAAGGAAACGAACATGGATGTTAAGGAAACAGAAAACGGCTCAAAGGCAGCCTCGATACATGTCCGTGGCCAGGCAGGCCAGGCCAGGCAGACTAGGCAGGCCAGATACAACGAAGCCGGGAGCACGGAGGTGACGGTGAAGTGGCCAGGTGGGAACGGGAAAAAAAAAAGAAGACGAGGACAAGGGGTGACAAAAGAGATCGAAGATACACAACGAAAGGCAACAGCTGTACGGAGCACAGGAGGACCAGTAGAAGCGGCAGGGCAACAGAAGAAAGAGGAAGAGGGTAGCAATGACACGCTGTATGCCCATGGAGGGGCGAGGGGATGGGATCGGTGAACAAACGGAGGCGGAAGCTACCTAGACAAGCACAGCGGCAGCCGAACAGCCCAAGACAAGGGATCTGTGGGAGGACGAGGCCGCGCCGGGGTTTCAACCAGGGACCCTGCACGTCTCGGTCGCTGGGGACCACAATCTCGCGTAGAGAAGCTAGTCTTGGCGCGAGATGAGCGTGCTGCGTTTGTTGATCGTGATGGGGGATGCGTCGAAGGAGATGCCGGAGCTGCCTACTGTCGGACGAGATTTGGAGATGGAATTGGGCCGGAGATGAACGATGAGCGGATGCAGGGCAACGATTAATGGACGCTTTGTTGGAGATTAAAGGAGGAATAATAGAGAGGGAGAGGGAGAGAGGGAGGCCGAGCCGACAAAGTAGACGTGGTGTCAAGATGAAAGGAGGAAGCTTACAAGTGGCGCTCGCTATGCGTGACTATATATGCGGTCGTGCCTTTACGTGATGTGTCTCATATATTTGTCGTGGGAAAGCGCGATGCGGCCAGATCTTGCCGTGAAGGCTGCGGCGAGGAAAGGGCCAGGCTAGTGCTCCTTCTCGCTGCCCTCAGGCACACACAGGAACATTCGAAAACGCCGAGGCGCGATGATGTTGTCGTTCCAACCAAGAGCAAAGCGGTAAAACGCGCATGCGAGGAGCGCGGAAGGAAGTCGCGCACTCGGTGCAAGTAAGGCAGCAACGATGTGGAAGGAGCGGAGGGATTGTCGGTCGTTGGTGTGGGCTTGACCCTGCGCACATGGCCCAGTCTTTGTGTGTGAAAGAGGCGGCGGACAAGTACGGCAAAATCTCACAAGTTGGATAAGTAGTAGTAATTACTCCGTACATGAAAAGGGAAGGCGCATATGGCGGGGAACGGGGGAGCTTAGGTTGAGCTAAGCGGCTTGACAATTGGTTCGTTCGAAACGCAGTCGTTCTTTCCTGGTTTCTCGTGTTGTTAACATCAACTCATCGTTCTTCCCTGTGTTGTGTCGAGGACTTTGTGGATCAGTCTATGGAGGAGAGAGGAGGGACAAAATATGCCCCTCGTCTACCCTCGTCTACCCTCCTTCCTCCTCGGTTCTGAATCTCTATGCCGGCTTGCTGTGAACGCTGCTTCCGCTATCCGCAGCCCACTACCCGCATTTACATGTCGCAAGCATCCTGCATTTGCTGCTCACCCTTTTGACGGAACAAGCTTTGCTCTGGTTATGTGTCCCGCTCTGCACGCGGCGCAAACAAACACCTTCAGCATGGATTGGCCAGGCGTCGTCTTCCAAACGGCAAGCCTTCGCCCTCCTACGTCACCTGAGGAACAATAAAAACCACGGACATTCTCCGTCACTACGTCTTATAAAGGGCAATCATCTGAGGACAGTCCGTTTCAACCAAATAAATCAATGGACTGTGGACAAGGGACCAGGGTGAGTGAGTGCATGCCTATACTTTGTGGCGCGTGCAGGTCATCGTATATAGAGGCCAGGACGAAAGGAAGACAACATGCCAGGTAACGAGGGCTGGCTTAGACTGCCCGTTCTGGTTGCTTTGCCCTACCCACCGGTTCGCCAGTTACTTCGGCTACTTCGTCTCGTCCCCGCTCTACGCAGTGCTACGACTCTGCACGCTTCCACCTCCCTTTCCTGCTTGACACATCATCCTTTTGCTTTTCTTGCACACGACATCGGGTCATTGCCCCAGCTCCTCAGCAAGCACTTGTATAGCGGCCGGCAAGTGGTTAAGGTGTGAGTTTGTCTCCTTTGCGACCAAAAGACGTGCCGAAAACTGAAGAAGGAATTCGATATGCCAGGCGCAAAGGCTACGACGTACGACTCAATAGCCGATGGTAGCCTCGAGACTTGTTTCCAATTCGTAACGGCTAGGTTGCATCGTCCGAGCATGCAGATTGTGGTCCAGAAACAAGGACTCTTTGGTACTTTGGCTCTTTGGTTCTGCTGCAGGGAGAACAGAAACTAAAAGAGACAATAGGTTCGAACAATGGGAGCAATAGGACCTGCTATATTACGGACCATGAAATTCCCCGTCCTTGTTTCTCGAATTCTCGTTTCTCACACCACACACTAAGGCTGCCGGTACAGCCCTGCACATTCTCCAGGCCACCGAGGCGACCCGTCGCGCTCGGTTGCGGGTTTTTAGACTGGATGTAGCCGTGTCGCCTCATCGGTCGCTCTAGACCCCTGCATTTTCGACCAGCCCTAGCCCTTGGACCTCATTTTCGACTTTTTGTTTCTTCAGCAAACGGCCAACTCCTTTCGGATCTGCCAAATTGATGCTGGCCGCCAAGGTGCCTCGAGGCGAACAAGGGGATACGAAGGGAAAGAAACAAATACGATTTGGGACCATGGACAATCGGCCGGCCGTCTTCCGACTACAAGAGAAGCCGCATGGTCCTCGATCCTCGATCCTCGACAACAATGTCAGCACGTTGAGCGAGATGTGATAAGATGCGGCAGAGCATGACCGCACGCCGTACGTTACAAAGAGAGAGACACGTCGGGGAACGCCAGAGCAGAACGAAACACCGCACTGATATTAACACCTGGGTGTCGCCGTTGGGACCCAGATGACGAGTCATATTTGATCTGTCATCTGCGTTTGCGAACAGAGGGGAGGTACGGACGGCGGGGGACGGATGCGAGGGGAAAGAAGGTCGGAAAGGAACATGCAGCAGACAAGGGGTTTGGCACTGGGCAATCCATTCATGCGACTGAGAGGTCGGCACATGGCTGTTTGGTCTGGGCCTGTGCCAGGGCTGTGTGTATGGTGCGCAGGCGCTGTGGCACCTGCTGCAGCGATCCTCACTTTAAGGGCAGTGGAGCGTACTGAATCACACAAGTGGCTCGAACATCGGTCTGGAGGGCGGACAAGATCTGGACGTATCTTACCATACAGCCTGGCTGTACGGCTTGGCATCTGCTTTCATGAAGACCTGATTCGGTCTTGAAGATCGATCAGGTTCGAAGCGATGCGAGCTGTTGCCCAAGGCATCTCGTATCTTACGGCCGTCGTATTTACAGATGTATTGCCGCGCACTGAAGATAGCTAATACGTATTATGCCGCTAAACTAAAGCTCGTGGTCACCAAGCTGCTCCCTCCGAAAGCTCTAATTAGTAGTGCAGGATCTGGTGCAAATACGTCGTAAAACAGCTCTAGTGGGGCAAGCCAGGGCTCTTCTTAGAGGCTTAGGCAACCCTGAAACGATCGTTAGCTCGTCCTGACGTTGGTCAGTGCACAAATATCGCTAGCAGTGGACCAAACTGGTCCCACACTGCCACTTGTCCTGTCCATTCCACACCAACCCACAGTCCCACAGTCCACTGTCCGGTCTGTACCGTCTATCCCTTAGTGGTTCTGGAAAACCCACACGTCATGGCTTCACTCTCCTTCAGACCGCACGCGTCGACCGACTTCGACCGCACACAAAAACACGCACCAGCACGCTGCATGCACGTCCGTCTTCTCGTCCGTCTGCTCGTCTCGAGCCAAGTATCTACGGGAGTAATACTCCCCCCCGACGCGGTTACGCGCAGCCTCCGAAGCCAATCACCGGGTCGCCGTCAATTAACGAGCTTGTTCTTCTCTGCGTAACGGCATCTGAGTTTTGTTTGGCGTACGTTGGGGCGTTTGTCATCACATTGGTGATCTGCCTTCTTCTTTGGCACAAACCGGATGGTGCCTTTTGTACAACCATCATAGATCTTACGACGCCTCCAGACACACAAGCGATTCTATCCATATATGTCCATTGGATGGCCAGGCCGACGACAGTTGTGCATCCTGCAGGACAGCCAAGCCGGACGCACTGATCCCCGTCTCTTTAAGCACTGTTTGCTCTTCAACCCCCAAACATTTCGTCGTCTGGCAGGGATAAAAAAAGTCCAAAAAGAGCGTGAACAGTGTCCTGAATTAGGACATCGTGCAGCGCCAACCACTTCCCTTAGTTGATTCAACGGAAGGGAATGTGAGGGGCGGTAGTTCCGACCGTTGAGGACTGGGCCGACAAAAGCACCGCAAGACACACGGCTGTTATGGCTTCAGCAGAAGGTGGCTCTGGCGGCAGCACCGAGGCGGCTCGCTCTGCAACAGAAAAGGCTGCCACTTCCGATAGCCAGCAAATAGAGAATACCTCTCTGAATGGGGTACTTGAAGAAAAGTCACAGCAACAGCAAAGCAGCCTTCTCCTTCACGAAAATGGCCTCGGTGAGAAGAACGACACACATGACGACATCCCCAAAATAGCGCCAAAACGAAATGGTGGCCGTGTAACGGCGTCACGGCAGTCATCATCGCTCTCTGTGAGCAGAAGTGAAAAGACTGAAATGCCGGTGAAAGACGATCCCACCGTGGCCGCAAAAAAGCAGGAAGTCCGTGATGCTTGTGTGCTTGGCGACTTTGCCCAGCTTCAGAAATTGGCAGGCTCCGCGGGCGGTTTTCTTACAGACGAGTTACGCCAAATAGCATGTAAGTGGATACTATTGTTGGAATTCCACCACGTGTTTCTACTCGTCGGTTGCTAACTCCTCAAAGGGCCGGTACTCCTAGGAATTCCTCTCGACGCTGACGGTCATGCCGACGTGGAGGCGGCGTCGGCTATAGCAGGTATCCCGAAAGAAGAGGACAGCGGCTCCTGGGAGAGTCTCCCTCCTCATCGAGACGAGGAACAGGTCCAGTTGGACGTCAACCGTGCCTTTGTTTACTACCCAACGCGTATGACCTTCCCCTCCCTGGCCTTGTATTCTGATTTTCTCGCGACAGACCAGTCGTATTAATCTATGGAAACTAGACGCCAACGACGCTGAGGAAGCTCGCCAAAAGAAGGCCTTGTCAGCGCTGATTATCGAGGTCTTGCGCCGGTACCCCTACTTGTGCTACTTCCAAGGCTTCCACGATATCTGCCAGGTCTTCTTGCTGGTACTCCCTCCCCATTTGCGGACGCCGACCGTTGCCCGTCTGGCTGTCCTGCGCATCCGCGACTTTATGTTGCCCACCATTGATGCTGCCGTCCAGCAGCTCCTGTTGCTGCCGGACATACTACGAATGGCCGACCCGCCGCTCTGGAACCATTTGCGACTTGCACAGCACCCGCGGCCTTTTTTTGCTCTCAGCGGCACCCTCACCATGTACGCCCACGACGTACAATCTCTCGGTGCCATTGCGCGCCTGTTTGACGTGCTGCTGGCCCGCCCGCCTGCGTTCTCGCTATATCTGTTCGCGGCTATTGTGCGTGCACACCGCGAGGCCTTGTTTGCCACACCGGCCAACGAGCCAGAGATGCTCCACCATATTCTGTCCAAATTACCGGGCCGGACAGGCGGCGACCGGGGCAATAACGAAAACTTTAGTGAGGAGAGCGGCAGCGCATCGTCTCCACTGCTAGACGATCTCATTGCCGATGCTGCGCAGCTTGCAAACGACTACCCAGCGCATACGCTGCCGGCGTGGCGGTCTATCGCTGCGTCTTCTGTTTTGAAGACGGCGGACGATCGTGCGACTGCACAGTCAAAGAGCAGACCTGAAAGCGCCGCCGGCAAGCCCTTGGCCTCTGGCTTGACAGTAGCCGATGGCGAGCGGCTGTTCTACGAGCATGTGCGCGAGCTGGAAACAGCCGAACGGCGGCGGCAGCAAGTGGCGCGGGTCCGGCAGATTCTGTGGCAGTACAGAGGCCCCATGCGGGCTGTCGGTGTTGCTGTGCTCGTGGGTGTTGTTGCCGTTGCCCTGCGCCGGTCAGGTGCCAGTGTTGGAGCGGGAAGCTCGTTCCTCACTGGCCCAGTCGCAAAAGTGTCGTCACTTTTGTCACGCGTCGGGATATACATTGGCTAGTGTGCCTACTTTTGTTTTTACGTTCGCCTGTTTTGTCAATTATATATCCCGTTGCTGCTACATAAACAAACGTTATACTCCTTCAGCTTTGTGCTGTTTGTTGAATCTCACAGCTAACGAAAGTTTTATTGATACGGCTGTCTCGCGAGGCTACGATGGAAAAAAAGTATACAGTTGTGTATTTTTATAGACCGCCAAGTATTTATATAGAAACACCGCTAATGGAAATCAGACATGCCCATCAAGAAAAAATAAGCAAAGGAAACGAGAGCGCATATGAATTAACTGGACAAAAGAAATAAACCAAACATGCTGCAAAGCACCAACTCCAGATTCATGCCCCCTCTTGAAACGCCATCTTGAGAGCTTCAATGTGCTGTTTCTGCTCGGCCGCAAGCTTGCCGCCGTGCACGTCGCTGACAATGGTCAGCACCAGCGAGTAGTTGTTGTACAGGAACCGCTCGCGCCGGCGCTTGTCCTTGC